TATATAAGGTCCCTCAAGGGGATCACAAACTCATACAGTACACAATTATTAATCATATTTTACAATTCACATTCCATTGGTAATCACATGGCATACTGTGAGATCTGTTATTGATTATGCTGTCCCCTGTCATGTCTTGTTTTGGTAAAGGCAGACTAACATGTTGAAGTACAAAAAGAAGCCATGAGAATAATCCCAAAATTAACCTCAAGGAAATACTAATACCGAGATAATGATATGATTGAACTTACAGAGTACTGGGGATAGAATTTCAGAGATAAATGAAACTTCGGCGATTTGATTAATGAGAAGCGAGGGAGCTAATGAATTAATCCTCTCCCTTCAAAAGGTGGAAAGAAATGAATAATGCATAATAGGATCCTTGTGTTCTAATGCTACAAAGCATGATGTCCTTCATGAATGTATTGCATTGCCAAAGAAACAATTAACACCAACATGGTAGGAACACAACGCAGATGCAGTCATTTTTCCCTATGCGTTTTCAGAACCTTATCTTTGCAGCGGTTATTTATTTTATTGATAAGCGACGTCATCTCTTAAAAATTGTATTGTTTTATACCATTTTTCCTGAGTTTTATGCACCCGCCAAACCCGCTGTTTATGAATGAAAAACGGTTTACACACGACTCACAACTGATGACGTTCGAGCACTTCCGGAACAAGTAAGAACATAAGAACATAAGAACAAAGGTAACTGCAGAAGGCCTATTGGCCCATACGAGGCAGCTCCTATTCTATAACCACCCAATCCCACTCATATACTTGTCCAACCCGTGCTTGAAACAATCGAGGGACCCCACCTCCACAATGTTACGCGGCAATTGGTTCCACAAATCAACAACCCTGTTACTGAACCAGTATTTACCCAAGTCTTTCCTAAATCTAAACTTATCCAATTTATATCCATTGTTTCGTGTTCTGTCCTGTGTTGATACTTTTAATACCCTATTAATATCCCCCGGTTATGTCCATTCATCCACTTGTAAACCTCTATCATGTCACCCCTAACTCTTCGCCTTTCCAGTGAATGCAACTTAAGCTTTGTTAATCTTTCTTCATATGAAAGATTTCTAATTTGGGGAATTAACTTAGTCATCCTACGCTGGACACGTTCAAGTGAATTTATATCCATTCTATAATATGGCGACCAAAACTGAACTGCATAATCTAAATGAGGCCTAACTAGAGCAAGATATAGCTTGAGAACCACACCAGGTGTCTTGTTACTAACGCTGCGATTAATAAATCCAAGTGTCCGATTTGCCTTATTACGAACATTTATGCATTGATCCTTTTGTTTTAAATTCTTACTAATCATAACTCCCAGATCCCTTTCGCAATCCGACTTCGCAATCACAACACCATCTAGCTCGTATCTTGTAACTCTATCATCATTACCTAACCTCAGAACTTTACATTTATCAGCATTAAACTGCATCTGCCAATCCTTTGACCATTTCAAAACCCTATCTAGATCAACTTGAAGTGATAGTGAGTCCTCCTCCGAATTAATTTCCCTACCGATTTTCGTATCATCGGCAAATTTGCAAATGTTGCTACTCAAACCTGAATCTAAATCATTTATATATATTATAAACAACAGAGGTCCCAGGACAGAGCCTTGAGGCACTCCACTTACAACATTTTCCCACTCTGACTTGATTCCATTTATACTAACTCTCTGTTTCCTTTGGTATAGCCATGCCCTAATCCAGCTTAATATAGCACCCCCAATACCATGAGACTCTATTTTTTTTAATCAGTCTTTCATGTGGCACTGTATCAAAAGCTTTGCTAAAGTCAAGGTATACAACATCGCAATCCTTACCACTATCAACTGCCTCAACAATGCTAGAATAAAAAGATAACAAATTTGTTAAACATGAACGGCCATTTATAAAACCATGTTGCGACTCAATTATTAATTTATGTTTTTCAAGATGAAGACGAATTTTATTTGCTATTATAGATTCGAGTAACTTTCCCACAATAGACGTTAGGCTAATTGGTCGATAGTTAGACGCAAGTGATCTATCTCCTTTCTTAAAAACTGGTATCACATTAGCAACTTTCCAAAACTCTGGCACTCTGCCTGACTCTATTGATTTATTAAATATGGTTGACAGTGGGTCACAAAGCTCCTCTTTGCATTCTTTAAGCACCCTAGCAAACACTTCATCCGGCCCTGGGGATTTGTTTGGTTTGAGTTTTACTATTTGTTTAAGAACATCCTCCCTGGTAACTGCTAAACTCGTCAACCTGTCCTCGTCCCCACCCACATAGACTTGTTCGGCTGAAGGCATATTGTTAAGTTCCTCTTTAGTAAATACAGATACAAAATATTTATTAAAAATACTACTCATCTCTTCATCACTATCTGTTATTTGACCTGTCTCAGTTTTTAATGGACCTATCCTTTCCCTAGTCTTAGTACGATATAACTGAAAAAACCCTTTAGGATTTGTCTTTGCTTGCCCTGCTATGCGAACTTCATAGTTTCTTTTTGCTTTCCTTATCTCTTTTTTAACATTTCTAACCAGTTGTACGAATTCCTGTTCTAAAGTGATCTCCCCATTTTTAATCCTTTTGTACCAAGCTCTCTTTTTACCTATAAGGTTCTTCAAATTCTTTGTTATCCACTTTGGGTCATTAGTATACGATCTATTCAATTTGTATGGTATACTACGTTCCTGTGCTTTGTTTAGAATATTCTTAAATAAGTTATATATTGAATCCACATCGAAATCCCCATTTAAGTCACCTATCGCTGGGTTCATGTCTCGCTCCAAGACAGGCCCACACCCCATACCCAAGCCTTTCCAATCAATTTGACCCAAAAAATTTCTTAGGCTATTAAAATCAGCTTTTCGAAAATCTGGCACTTTAACAGAATTTTCTCCTACTGGTCTATTCCATTCTATGCTAAATCTGATTTCTTTGTGATCACTGCTCCCTAGCTCACTCCCTATTTCGATGTCATTAATTTGCGTTTCCCTGTTAGTTAACACTAAATCTAAAATATTATTTTCCCGTGTTGGTTCCTTAATGCTTGCTTCACTGAAAAAGTGCTTCACTGACGAATTTTGTTCGAACCACGACGCTGTAAATGCTTCACCCACGTACTACAAATACAAAAAATCGCCAACAGAACCTAAACACCTAACCTAACCTATGCCTATATATGCACAATATGCTAATATATTATAATATTAATTTATATTTGAGAAAATTCCCGTTTTGAATGAACAGCATGTAAAAAATTATGAATGCGTCTGTGGGGTCGACCGCTGGATTTACGTAATGGACATGAGTCGAGGACGGGTTGCTTTAAATGCTTCACCCACGTACTTCAAATACAAATGATCTCCAACAGAACATCAACATCTAACCTAACCTACCCCTAACTATACATAATTTTTTTATATATAATAATATTAACTTATATATGAGAACAGACCAATTTTTAATACACAGTATATTAAAATTTATGAATGCGTTCGGGGAGGACGGTCTCTGCTTTAATCAGCCTAGTGTGAGGACGGGTTGAATACAAATGATCGCCAACGGAACCTATACATCTATGCAGATGAGGAGAACCAGTCACAATAACTGGTTCCTAAACACCTATCCTAACCAATAGCTAAATATGCACAGTATGCTAATATATATTAATAGTAATTTATATTTGAGGAAATTCCCATTTTGAATGAACATCATATTAAAATTGATGAAAGCGTCTTTAGGGTCGACCGCTGGATGGAATGGACTTGGTCTGAAGACGGGTTGCATCAGTTGTGAGTCGTGTGTATAAACAGTTTTTCATTCATAAACAGGGGGATTTGGCGGCTGGATTAAGGCGTTTGTTGATGAGATTGCCTGAAGACCGGTTGATTACCATGAGTGCGACCACATGTAGTCTATTTATGTACAATTATTTTGTTTCAAACTATTGTTGATTTTGTAGTGAACTTGAGTCAAAAGCACGTTAATAGAATAATTAATAATCTCGATTTTGGGGTCAACCACCATCTATTTCCTTATTTAACAATAAAGAGAGGCTAATACAAAATATCTTATTACAGAAACCACACAGACGTCTGTCTTTCTAGCACTTTTACTGATTATTCAATATAACAGCTATATAAATGAACCAATTAATGACTTCGTTAATTTCACCTTAATAGCAGTGACTTTTTTTTAAACGAAAACCTTTAACTTACACAGGCTTCAAAATACTCGCAAGTGATTAATGTTGATTCTATTTACTAGAGTGCCTAACATAGGTAAATACGGGTATCTAAAGTTCATTTAGATACTTTCTTTTTTAGTATTCTCTAGTATTAGTTAGATTTTTGACAGTAAGCAGTAACTGAGTATCGAGTGGCCCAAAGGAGGCGATGGAGTCTAATAGGTAATTACGAGGCTAGGGGTTTACTGCTGGCGTTAAGGGAACCTTGTGTGAATGTAGTTGCACGTTCGCTAATAAAAATATGGAAATACACATGTGTGGTTCTGTCATATGGTGGGAATACAAGGAGTGAGGATGTACTTACAAAGGTTTCTGAACTTGATAGTGATTCCTGTACTGTGATTTGTGGATTTGTACGCACTGAATTTGTGCGCTCCTTGAAGGACTTGAAGTAGGGGAGGGCAGAAATAGCCTAAGTTACTCTATTCCTTTGAGATGTATTTTATTGTCTCAATAAAGGTACTTGAACTGGATAGAGGGTTGGGAGGTAGATAAACATCTTAAGTGGAAGGAGGAGAGATGAAGGTATACTGTGTTAGTTACTGATCGGCTAGGTAAAGTTATGTGAAAGAGGGAGCTTACTTAAAACTAGCGGGGAAGTAGGGTCGGGTAGGGGGAGGTATAGGGGTTTGGTGGGACGTATGGGGATAGGGGGGGGGGGGATATGGAGGGGCGTTGAAGACAGGGTATGGGGGTTGGGGGGGGGGAGGTGAGGTAGGTGACGGGCGAGGCCTGGCCGTCTGGTCAGTCAGGCTAGTGCTGGAAGACAGTGTGTGAGAGGCAATGAGAGCGAGTAGGCTGAAGGCACTACTCCTTCCCACAATACATTCCGCCATCATGAGTGTTATATAATAGCAAGAATAATATATTGCAGACGCAACTCCAGTCATCTGGGCCAGAGATACAATTACACCTCACAGGAGTAGTGTGAATCTCAACTAACATCATGGCATTGGACTTCATCGCTGGATGCCTTGGAGGTAAGTGGAAAAAAGTGTATTTGTATTGAGCTTTGTGATGGGAAACTTTAGTTGTGCATAGGAAACTGTTTACCACGTCATCCAAGACTGGGAATCTTAAGACTAGACTAAAAGAGTAAGCTTTGTCTGGTTCCTAAAGTGTATGGCTCCTTTTTTAATAGTATTTTTGTATTCAATGAGAACAGCATGAAGCGAAATATTGCCATTTGTAATGCGAAAGTTTTTTCGAAATTTGCTAGCGATAACTTTGATCGATAAGTCTTTTAAGTGTCGATTGTCATCAAAAATGTTTTTTTCTGGGCAGTACTGCTTGGTAAGTTTGAGGAACTAAAATTAGTTTTGTAAATAAATAAGTAGGATTGACAAGCGAGGCGCCAATGCATTTAAACTAGTGAATTTCTTCAATGTTCGACTATTAGGTTAAACTGTATGGGCAGTGGTAAGGTTTTACTAAATGTGTAACGCACACCTCTTATAGCGTTATCGGCAATATTGTTAATTAAAACTGTGGTACTACCAGACTGACAAACTTTAAAGGTTATACTATGCAAATACAACTTTGTACACTGCTAAAGTCTGAAGGTGTTGACTGTACCAGTCTCTAAAAGTGTGCATACTGTACCATTTACTATACGATTTTGCTCGGAACTACGCGGGCTGCATTTTAATCGGTAGGTTTATTACAGCAAAATTACCCCCGCAGTTGTTGTTTAGCCGAACATGAACGTACGTAGTCGAGGTCTTGACTTGTCGCACAATGGTTGTTTTGCTAAAGTATTATGTCGAGCTTTAAGCCTATTGATTTGGGAAAGTTGAGCCACCTCGATAACTTAACCAGCAATTATACTTGTCCTAACCATTTAATTTTAGAGTAATGTACTCTATATGAGGAAGTTAAATATATTAATCCATTCCGACTCTTCAGGATACTAGTTACTAAACGCCCTAACTCCCGGGTACTTGTTAATATTGCAAGGGGAACTAAGGTATTAGACGAGATGAAAAGTTTCCAACCATTTTGTTCCGCTTGGGACTGGAACCTCGGGTCACTCATTGTAGACAGCTAGAGTCTAGAATGAAGCGAACTCTTAGACCCTTAACTAGATTTAAATCGGAGCTAAATCGTCGTAAATTTGTAAATCGCTAAAATGTATAATTCCAACCTGATTCTTTATACTGTCATACTTTCACACAGATCTTTGGACAGTTTCACTGTCTACAATGAATGTAAAAGTCGGCACACAATAGGGTAGTTGTTGACGTACACCCAACCACTTTTGCAACTGAAGCGTATATAGGTCCTAAGAATTCGATTGAGGTTTAACCAACTATGACACCTCTGGACTTGTTCTTAAAGATATTACTTAAATGTTTTCTGAAATTTCACACCAGCGTCGTGGACATGCAATGTTAAAAATGCAAAGTTTCGGTAACTTGATATTTTACTTGAAGTGCACATGTGGACTGTGCTCCGTTAGCACTAAGGCGTGCAGTATACCACAGTTGCTTGACTGACAAAACATGAGGGACGCGACATGTCAACATGCCAGGCCAGGCGATTCATAGTGAGCGGATATGGATAGGTGGGGGGGGGGGGAGGGGATATCTCGAAATGATTTCGGGGCTTAGCGTCCCCGCGGCCCGGTCCTCTACCAGGCCTCCTTTTTGTTACATATCCCCAGGAAGCAGTCCGTAGCAGCTTTCTAACTCCCAGGTACATATTTTACTGCTAGATGAACAGGAGCATCAGGGTGAAACTACCCATTTCTTATAGAACAAGTGTAGTTTAAATCACTGATTGATAAAGATTAAGCCACCCAAGATCTAAATCATTGGAAAGTACAAGGTCAATTTAAATAAGAGGAAACGGTGAGCATTAATAGGATTTAGTCCTATTAGGGAATTGATAACTAAAGCAGCGCTCCAGGATTTTCTTCCTATATCAATAGTTAGTTAATTTTCATTTTAATTATTAAATCTGATCTTCAAATGAAGACTAGCCAAATTTTACATCTAGCTTTGACTATAAAAAAATGCTATTAAATTGTTGACTTAATCACTTTCAATCTTGGCAAAGGGGAAAAAGTTGTATTGCGGGAGAGAATAAAGGAAACTTGGCAGAAAGAGCTCTAACATCCTGAAACTTGACCTGATGTGGGTAAGATCTCGCCTAATGAAAGCAGTATGATCATTTTATTATGAAATGGACATGTTCTGAAATCAGCGGAAATTAATCCCTGGAATTAGGCATCTTAACTAAGAGATTAAGAACATGTTTTTCTCGGATAGTTTAGAGCAAAGTGTAGATGTGATGGGTGTATAAATCGATGAAGGCAGTGTTGGAACTCAGAAGCATATACAAATTGGAGTACATAATTAGATAGGCAGATATATAGGGGAACATTAGCTGGAAAAGTAAAGATTGGAGCGGGCAAGTGGGGAACATAAAAAATTTAAAAGCATATGCTTAAAAGAGTATGAAATTTGTTTTAATGAAGAGTTGAATATAAATGCACAGGCAAGGAATGAGGCAGCTCTAAACTATTCACACCCGTTAGACAACTTGTGCATATATTTACATGTATTAGTGAATAAGAATTGTCTTCAGGTGCTAAAAACGTAAATAAACACAATGAAATGTAAAACAATGGATATAAACTGGACTAAATTAGATTTGGGCAAGGCCTTGGGTAAATACTGGTTTGGGAGCAGTTTTGTAGAACAAATCGCTAGGTATCAAAAGACGTGGTATCACTTAATTATATCAAATGTAGGTTAGAAATGTCTATGAAAGAATATAAGAATAAAGGTAATTGCAGAAGGCCTATTGGCCCACACGAGGCAGCTCCTATTTATAACCATTTTTTATATATAAAAAGTTGTGGATATAATGACACGTATGGGCCAGTAGGCCTTATGATTTCTTATGCTTGTATAAGTTTTATTAACTAGTTTAGTAGTGTTGGATAAAAATAACTACTAATCTAAATTCTTAAACGGGATAGAGATTAATAAGTAAAATGGCTGATGATGTAATTAGTATAAATTTCTCCTAACCAATGTACACTTAAGGCAAGGTTGAGAAGAAAGCAAATATTAGGAAGTTAAATTGCTGTACAAATATTTTAGATATTCAACTTATTTTACCTTGTAATGTTTTTAAATTTAACTAAATTTTAACCTAATTTTCTTTTTAAGTAAGTTTACTCAAATGAAATCTCTAGTAAAGTTAGTATCCACCCGGGTAACAAGTGGAGTGTGCAGCCTAGCAACAATTAAGACATACCATATAATTAAGTTGACATATAAGACATATAATTAAGACATACAATTAAGCCATACGTTTCTGCCCGAAACGCTGTGCGTACTAGTGACTTTACAAGAATGTAAATACTGTACTACCCAATGTATTCTCACAAACCCAATGTACCTTCTTGTATATATATATATATAAATAAATAAATAAATACCAGACCGCCTCCGCCCGCTCATAAGTAACAATAAGTCAACTTAAGTTTCGTGCTGTGATTGTGAAAGCGCTGCTCTCCCGGATAACAAGCCGGGAGATAACTTATTTTCGTTTTGGAGGAATAGGTAGGATCCTTAATATCCAATTAAGGTAAAGTACAGGCCATGGATACCTATCAGTCATAAATTCGACAAGTAGCTCGTATGATGTTCCGAGCTCTGCCTACCATTACCTTTTTATTTATAAGTGTATTGGTGATTTAAGTATTAACAAAAAGCGGTTAAAACGTGAAGAATGGTCACAATACCTGTGTGTAGAAGTCGTCGGCCGCCGCTAACACTCAGACCAGTCTGACTAGTTAAGCGGCATGTTGACACAAGGGCTTATACAGCTTTATTATTAGTCTTCTACAAGAAAGTAGCGTAGGTATTAATGCGTACAGTTTATAAATGTGTGTATACACTGAAGTGAATAATATACTAGACTTGGGTAACATGATTTAAAAATGTGGAAACTGTTAAATAATTAAGAGTAACCTGGCAACTGTAGTGATGCGATTAGTGTGTTATCTCATTGGTTGGCTGGCCGGCTGTAGTGGTCTCCCATTGGCTGGTTGGACGGGTGGGGCACCGCTGACTTGGGTATAAAAGTGACTATGATCACTTTTTAAAATGTTCTAGTTTGTATGCCATATTTTTTTTTATTAATTACCATTTTTAAATGTCGGTGAGGAGGCATCGGGTCTAAACTTGTAATAGGTTTTGTGTAGTTCATATTATACATCCCATCCCCATTCTATGAGCGGTAGTGAAGAGGAGGTTAGAGGCCCATAATGGGCTGGGGAACGAACTCCAGGGTTCATGTAGGTAAAAGTTACTATATTGATGAACTTAAACCATAATATATACACATACATATGTATATGTGTGTATTTTATGACTGCATCGGGTTCGCTCTTGACTCGCCATAAAGAATTCCGGGTTAGAATCCCGAGCAGGACAAATGCTTTGCCACATTTCCTATCACCTAATACATCTATTTACCTCGCAGTAAGTACGTACCCAGGAGTTGGCCAGCTTGTTACGGGGTTTCAACCTGGCAAGGGCTAGTGGTTAGACCTTGGGGGCACCTAGATAGAAGCCTAACTTGTAATATATACAATGGTTGCCTATTCCCCGACAGTGAATTATCGTAATGTGAAGGAAAAACCCACCAAACTTTAGGTTAAGTTTAGGAAAAATTTGATTATTTTAATATGCAAGTACCTATAAGGATTAGGTATGGAATGGCAGCCGAGCCGTGTCAGAACTGGCACGGCTCGGCTGCCGTGACTAACTAACAAGGTACTAACACCCAGGTACCTAATTTACTGCTAGGTAACAGGGGCATAGGGTGAAAGAAACTCTGCCCATTGTTTCTCGCCGGCGCCTGGGATTGAACCCAGGACCACAGGATCACAGGATCACAAGACCCGCGTACTGTCCGCTCGGCCGACCGGCTCCATACATACGTTTTATGTTTATTTTATTTTTATTTATTTACAAGTACATTGGGGGTTAACAGAGAATACAGAAATTAAGTTGAATTAACATTCTTGTAAAGTCACTTCACTCATAGCGTTTCGGGCAAGTCCTTAAACTAACAAAATTTTTAGATAAATTAACAGTAAAATTGACAAAAAATATTTACAGGTAAATTGAAGAAATTTTGACAAGCAGATTAGAATAATACACAATAATGATACACAATAAAGAAACCAGGATTACTAGGTACATGAGGATAACATCTCAAGGTTATACATTGGTTCACTGAAGTACAATATGAGGATCGTTTCGAGGAAAAGTTTCAAGGAATAATGCAGTAGAATATGCACTAGATACAACAACCATATCAGATGATATCCAAGATTACAATGATAAAGTAATATGGCTTGGGTACAAATATTGGGGAATTGAGTAGCACTAGATACAGTGTGAAAATAAAGCACATAGTAGAAAACTGCGAAGATGAAATTGGGTACTTTTTGGTTTTATTTTTGAATAAGGCAAAAGTTGGACAGCTTTTCAAATCATAGGGAGTGAGTTCCATACACTAGGTCCCTTTATTTGCATAGTGTGTGTTTACATAGATTAAGTTCGACTCTGGGGATATCAGATTTATGTCTGGTGTGGTGGGCATGTTCTATTACATCTGTCCAGGAAGAGTTTCAGAACAGGGTTTGCACTTAAAAAAAAAAAAAAAAAAAAAAAAAAAAAGGGCGGGGGGGGTTATAAAGTTAATTTACACAAAAGAATGGAGTGAATTTGTTCAGCATGTTTAGGGATTTGAACAGGGGAGCTGTGTGTTCTCTGAAAGCAGAGTTATTGTCCTGATAGCAGATTTTTGCTGGATGATGGGCTTATAATTCACATTTCACTGCGATGAACAATGAACCTGCTAGTATGAGATCAGTCGGTGTTTATGGTCTGTTTGATGGTGTGTTTGGTTTGTATAATGTGAATGTGTTCTAGGGTGCTTAATTTAGCAGAAAGCTGAGCATGAGGGTCGTTTGTGATTAGTTTTTTAGAGGGATTATGCAGGGGGTCAGGATGTCAAAAGGTACCATCTGCCAGGGTGGAAGGAAGTGTTGTGCTCTATTCTTTACACACATCGTGCAATCCCATCATTTTAATAAGAGTGGTTGTTCTTTGAATTCATTTAGATTCCTTGGTTACATTACGTATGTGTTCTAACAGTTCGACTGACACAAATGTTGCTTTTATCACGCAGAAGCTTTAGTCCCATCTTAAGATTGATTTTCAATATTCTCTTGAATACTAGGTATATTTAATTCTTTCCACATATTAAGGACGTTGTGGTTATAGGACAGCCAAGTATAATTCTGAGGAATTTATATTGCATTTTTTCCAGTCTATAAATACTTTTGTCATTTTGCAGAACTGGTGCATGATAGTCTTAGACCTTATACTGTATATGCTTAGTGCATTATTTTTGCTATTCTAACATTAACGCCGTATTTAGGGCTGTACCCCATTACAGTTCTGAGAGCCTCGAGTCAGTCTACATTGTTGTTGTAACTGTGACTGCAGTTAAGGTATTTGAAAGAAGACACTTTTGGTATGTTTTCTATTTTTAGTTTTCGTGGTCCACTTTTTTACGATTACCAATTTCTGTTAAATACCTTAGTTTTAGCAGCGTTGATTAAAAGACCAAGGCTCTCGCCAAGCTTTATATATACAATTTGAGTGTTTACATTTTACGGTGGGTTTTAATATGTGCAAGATGTCATCTGCATAGCAAAGTGATGTTTACCGGACTAGTTGCAATTGATTTTAGCAAGGCATTAATTAGAACATTTAACAAGGTAGAATTTAGTACTCCTTGTAGAGTACCTAGTTGTATTAATTTAGTTTCACTTTTGTAGCCTTAGAACAGTGCAGAGAACTTCCAGCTAGTAAGATAGCCCCGTATCCACTAATAATTGACATAACTGGGAAACGCTACCCAGTTTTCCTGGGAAACGCTTGTTCGAAACGCTACGCGTACTAGTGACTGTACAAGAATGTAAGAACTCGTGTATATAAATAAATAAAATGAATAACTCGCATTAAACCATTCTAATATTGGATTACATAGTACACGATGTAAGTCTGAGACTATCATAGGTGATACCTTCCTCGTCAGCAGTTGTGCTACTACTGCCCCCCTTGAGAGGTCTGCAACTCTGAGCAGGAACTGCGGCATGATCTCCCACACTACATCACCAAATGCCCAGTTATTAGACCTTTCAGACCAGTTGGCATGAGGTACCTGGAGTTTTGCAATTACTTTATTCACTCGTATTCTTGAAGATATCCTCATATTGCACCCAAAATTTGCCAGTGCAGGCTACTAAACAGATGGCCCTGTATGACTAGCCATCCTGGGAGATGGGGACTTTTATTATCACTGCTGCCTTATTCACTATTGTTGATATCCTCAAAATGCATCTGGAGTCTGCCAGTGCAGACTGCCTATCACATGCCTCTGTATGACTCGCCATCCTGTGATGGGGATTTTTTAGCATCACGTAGTTAGCTTTTTTGACATACTGTACTCCACTTCATATAGTCTAGGGCAGCTGCACAAATGCAGATGTACATGTATTAATAAAAAAAAATCATTCATAATCTGTATATGGAACATCATTCATAATATTGCTTGCTCAACATGGTTAATGAGAGCATTTGACTTCCTCAGCAATTTCTCCCTAGTGCTAGTTTGTAAAATTTAATTGCCTGAAACCTGAGTCCTTTTGTAATTGACTGACTGGCTTTCTGTAGCGGGTTTGGATGTGAAATTTGTCTATTTTTTTAACAATAATTTCATTCATGCCTTTCGAGGCGTTGCCCAGGGGAGTATGCAGGTTAAGTCCGCTAACAAAACCCTTGTATTCATTTTCTCGGTTCATTCTCTCCTTTGTCGCTGCAAGCGCGGCCTGAATCGGTTTTAACATTTGAGGTGTTCTAAGGCTCTTTATAAAGTTTACCAGTTTGCCAAGCAATAGATTAATTAAAGTTCTTTCAGTTTAGCGCCCTCATACTACTGGTTCTGTCTGACCTGCTTGTCGGTAAGTCTTTAAGTTTGGTGTGACTCGCTATTTGTGATGGCCTCGTAAGTTTTATTCACATGGTAATCATAACTGTTGTACATTCTCAAGCTCATAATTGTTATACCAATGTTCAATGCAGTTTAGAAAGATTTTCTTACTGTTATCCTGCGTCTTCTCAGCTTAGTGTCAGGTAGGCCAACATTAGACACGTGTATGTTAACTGTTATTGCTGAATGGTCAGACTTTGTCATCCATAATCAGTCTCGTACGTTGTGTATAATAGGTTAAAGCCTATAGAGCACTCCTCCATATATTTGCGTTGGCCGATTCTTACTGATAAATTAAAAATCATATGCATCGAGAATTACCAACAATCTTCTCCCGTTGGTGTTTGTGAATTGATCCCTCAGTTGATTGATGAAGATTAAGCCACCCAAAAGGTGGCACGGGCATGAATAATCCGTAAGTGGTGGCCCTTTTGAGTCATACCAGTATCAATAGATGATACTGGAGATCTGTGGAGGTGCGACTGCACCCTGCGTGAGGGGAGATGTCTCCCATCCCTCAATTGTTTGTGTTCAGCATTTAAATCCCCCAGTTAAGATTGTAAGGTCAGTATGTACAAAATTAGATAGGTGTGTATACTGGAGGTCAGTAGGTGCATAGGCATTTATATCTAGTGTAGTTACCAGCGTGTACCCGGATACCGTAATATTGAAATGCCACTAGTTGTTGAGCGGGAAGTGGCTAATGTGGTAGTGATTTTGTAACATACACGAGACGCCTAACATAAACAAACGCCTGCATGAATAAAAATGCCCCAAAACCAATGAAGCTGGTCAACGTGGCAGGGGCATGGTTGTGGCAGGAAGACTGGTCCCGCCTGTGGTCATGCACACTGTCTGAAGCATGGTTTCAGGGCCAGGATCCAGACTAAACACTGGCTTGTGAACATACGGTTGCTAGGCTATCAAAGGTTTAGTTTGTCATTGTTTAGGATTTTGAAATTTTTAAAGCCACTAACATGTATATCGGGGACTAATCAATATGTAAATCATTGATCTTGTTACGTAAGCTGATCTCTGCAGATCCCTCGTGCATTAATACCTTTTGAATAGCATTAACTCCCACCCCTCGAATGTTAACTTAAATTAAATTTAAATTATGAACATTGCAACGTTCTCTGGTAGAGATGTTTTCAGTCATTCAAAGACTAATGAATGTTGTTCCTGCACGGTAGTTAATCTGTATCGGCTTTATCACCTGCTGCAATCTAGCCTTAACATTCGTTCATCTGTAGTCTAATAAGTTTAGTCCATTTAATTTTCATAGTTTTAAAATCTTTATTAATTTAGACACCCCCTCCCCTCTGATTCGCAACCATTTTCCTCCTTCCCTTCGATCACAGACTGAAGCAATCTATGAGCGTTTGCATGACCTTCCCTGGAGCAGGGCTCTGGCAAGTCCAACTAGATTATTTGGTTTAGAGATTATACGATACATTGCAGCTAAGTGTTTATGCTTGCAGAACTCTAGTATTACAGCAGAGACCTGAATGGCGTTAGTACATAAAATATAGGCTGCATAAAGTTTCTACAAAAACTATGGTTCCTTTAAAAGAAAAGTGCGCCTACAGATCTACTTTGTAGTTTTATTCAGTGTACCTAGGAACTGAACCCTTAAAAACAGGGTTCTGTTCGGATGTCTTACCCAATGTTGCTGTTATAGATTCGGCTACTCTGAAAAAGTTCAAGTAGCACGGGCTATGATGAGCCCGTAGTGGGCTTACCTGGCACAGGAGCGGTGCTGTCTTCGCCCAAAGTTACTTCTAACTATATACTTGTATATTCTCAAATATCAAGAGTCTGCATTTTCACGTTACTTGACTTCAGCAAGTCATGAACTTTGAAATGGTTATTTATATGCTGGTTTTTAACCAGGTGGTTTAAATAGGTTGGGTTCAGATGTTCTAGGTATGAAAGTGGTGAGTATCAATATCCCAAATCTTTCCCAGCTAAAGGACGATGGGTACACCATATTTGCTTGCTTAAATATCGCGATAGATAAAACTTGGGCTCGGTAGACCAGATATGTTATAGCTGCAGTCATGTCGTACATTGGAACTCTGCAATAACTTGGTCTTTGTTTGAATATTGTACTAGTAATCTAATATATACAAAACGGAATTCAATGAAATATTAATGTAATTATTTATGGAAAATGTAATGTGATAATACAACATCCAACGCTTTAAACAAACAAGTCCCACATGCTACCACCAAATAACTAAATGTCAGGTGTGAAAGTTGTCAAATGGGATAGGTAGCCTTCCTATCATGTAGCGGAAGCATTAGGGTTATTCTTCGCACTTAACATGTTTTTCCTTGTCCAGGAACTTTTATGGTCAGGTACACGAACAAGCGTAAACATGAACAGTTTCTCTTTACTCTGTAAGGATGTCATTTTTAAAATCTAAAAATAGAAGCGCGAGTTTAAGTTCTAAGTCGGTAACTAACTTGGGCAGTTCTTAGTATGTAACATTTGTAGACATTGAACAAACATGAGTACTGGATCTAAAAGAAGTTCTAAAACAAGATCTAAAACAACAAAACAAAGTTTTCAGTTAGAACATTCTGATAACAAAAGTTCAGAGCATCCTTAAAGTAAAAAATTGGCGGTAACTTGGTTAATAAGACTCGGGCAACTTATCGTGCATCTGTCCGGAATTTGGAACAGATGGTTTTGTGCCATAAAACATAGTTTGGCATTTGCATATGTGGGCATTTGGGTATTTGACTAGTTTTAGCTAATTTCAGTATAGTATGTTTTTGTGCGAGGTTCCTCACACGAGGCAATAGGTCTCTGGTCTTGCTTCCTTGTTACCGTACCCATCCACTAACCATGGTATTCTATAGCATGCTTGCCCACTATAGCTCAAACAGCAATCCTGATCCTATAGTCATTGTATAACGGCGGTAGGCATGGCTTTCCATAGCCCTCTTCAAAAATACAGGATGTAAACAACAAAAGTTGTGGCAATATTGCTGCCCCAGCACGAGTTGTGACCGCGGGTGATCTCGTGGACCTTCCGTGCTGGTCACGTGGTGGGTCGCTGGATGATCTTGCCTTACCTGTGCGCTGCGGATGTTGCCGGCGCACCCACCCACTTTCCACCAGGTTCTCTGTATTCCACTTAGTAAACTTGTTATAAGGAGTGCCTGCTGGGCGCTGTAATTGTCATTATTAATGTATTTTGTTGCAGCAGCAGGATGACACACAATACTGAAGCAAGAATGCAACATATATAGGTTGTCAACAATTCGCCACACCTACCTGTTTGTGACCTCACTTAGTCATTAGCTACCCACCCCCAAAGATTTACCTTTAATCTTCTACGGCTGCTTCCCTGGTTTGGGCTTAAGTTTTACCGAGAATTTGAGGGTTAAGCCGTGACTGTAGCTTACTGACCCACCAGACCTACCATGATAGTCCTGAACAGTGTCCAGGACTGGCTAAACTGTGCATACAGAAGTGGGGTGCATTTGTCTGCGCGCGCACACATTTCTGCAGCGATGGCTCCTGCCCACTGTGTCTGATTATGTTGAAGATGCCGGAATGTCCTTCCAGTAATGCTTCAGTGATAAATATACGAAGTTGCGTATTTAAATAAGTTTTATCACGCATGCACGTAGATTCACAGCATGGATCAACATGAAAATGTACTTTTCTTTTTAATTAAAGTAAATTTAGATTATACTTAAAGCATTATTCATTTCTAGGTATAAAGTCAGTAGACGGAAAAATGGGACTGAATAAGATACAGTAAACTGCTCTGACCATATCCAGGTGCATGGCAAATTCTTATGGACTTTGCTCTAGCAAAAATTGTTTCATCACTGTGAGGATAAAGATCAGTTGAATAAATGTAAAGTGACTAGCGATAGAGGCGTCTTAATTTAACTTGATCATTTTTAAACCAGCTTCTTTGACTTATTTATTAGAGTAGCTAGTTTAGTATAAAAATAACTAACAAGAAATGCAAGCGAGCTAAACTCTTTGCAAGATAAACCTGGCAGTCACTAAACACAATGAGCAGTTTTGGCTTGGTGTTAGGTTTTGAGCCCATCTGTTTTCTGGGGGGGATTAGAAAGGCCACCAGATTTGATTATTAACCAACCAAGAAGTTTACTTTAGTACTGAACCAAAGTCTGAACCGTGTAGCTAAAACAGAGAAGCGGGGTACACCTCTGTCTCCTTGGAGAATATCATTGAAGTTCCTATATTATTTCATATTAATGAGACATACCCCTAGCTCTACGCCATAGTCAGTCATTTGTTCATTTGATGCATCACGTTAGTGTGATCTGTGTAATAATGTAAGGGCGAAGAGGGAGAACGGCCTGTTGACATAGTTCGGGTGCAGGGGGGAGTTGTGTAAAACCCTGGTTTGTGCCTCGGAGAGGCTGCGGGATCCAGTAAGTTCAGTAGAACTTCGGTTTTAACTCTTACCCTGTCGTAGCTCAGTCGATTAAGGCGGTGTCTGGGATGCTCCCGGACGCAGGTTCGAATCCTCGTCACGGCCCTTGTGGATTTGTTCATTTACCTCCCTCACAAGTGTGTAAACCCCCCACACGGAACCTCTGTGGTCACTATCAAGCACAGGACATTAATTAACTATTAAACTGGCTTATTTTTTTAGAATTCTTTTTCCGGTCTATATGAAAACTACTTAGCGTACATGTATTGTTACGAAAGTGACTGGAACAAGCGATAATGCTCACCTCGCAAAGAGTAGGTAAATTGACAAGTTCATTTTCGCCATGGACTTGTAAGTTCCTGCATTATGGTCCAGGGCGGACTGGAAATCCCTCCACTTAGTAATAGGTGTTTATATTTAGCAGAACTGGCAATACAACTTGACCAGTGTTAACAGACGTCATGCATGACACTTGCAAACCACCTTTAATGAAAAGGGGGCGAGTAATTATCATAAGAAGGCACCAAGCCGGGAAGGCTATGTAGCACCAAGGGAACGAAACGTTTGGCTAAACTTGTAAAGTTTAACTAGAATATAGTTTGCAGACAATTGTGAGGGTTCGCAAGTTATTTTCAGTTAACTGTTTAGCTAACAAAGGGACCAAAAGATGTTTTCTGGTGTGTATATACGCATTCATCCATTCACTGTTTTCACTGTATTGATGTACATATTTTTGTTCACAGGATGTGCGGGCGTCGCTGTGGGTTACCCTTTCGACACAGTGAAGGTAAGATATTATGGACCATCCCAATAATAGGCATGATCTGTTGAACAACAATGCCCTCTTAATTCGCCATCTTTCCTCCTTCATTGTCCATTGTGTATTTTGGTAAAGGGTATGAAGACAACTACCTAAACTTCTAAGCTTAATTTTTAGGCCTGATAAATAGAATCTTGGGTATATTTTAGCATTTATTAGCTTAGATTAGGTTGTGGCCTTCTTTCTCGGATCCTTTGTAATACAAACCGTAAGAAACGGCGACTCTGGTCGCAAGAATCTACATTGTGGATATATTCTACCGTCCCCGCAGGTGGTGTCGTTGTTGGAAGTTTCTCAGTGTTACTTATTGGTATATACAAAACTATAGCTGAAAAATTTGCTATAAATTCCCCAGCTTAATTGCGTATCTTGTAGTGGTACTTTTCTATAGGTATAATTCAAAGATTCCCTTCTTATTTTATTCACCTATTATTATCCCAACTAAAATAATATTTATCAGTAAAGTCACTACTCGCCTGCAATCTTCACATTCGAAATTCCACACAAGAGGTTGCTTTAGATAAACTAACCGTACGAAGTATGAGTAGGAACTGCAAAAGTTTCCGTCTAGTAATGGCGAGGGCTGATAAACGGTGCTGGTGGGTAGCCGCATTACATAGGCGCGGAAGTATACCAGGATCAGGGTAGAAGATAAAAAGTGGCCTGACCACTTTGGGCTTGTACCCAACTCTGGCGCAGTGTTTCTGTAAAATATTAGTTCCCTTTCATGACGTTTTGATACATTTGCAAATGAAGCAAACTGGTCAAAGAAAGATTTTGGGTAAGAAAGTTGAAAGACAAAAAAGATAGTACTGTTGAGAATTAGGGAAAGTTAATGTGCAGTAGAGAATGGACCGACGACGGAAGCGGTCTACGTATCGTTTAGGTGAAATGTAGATAGCCAATTACTGAATAATTTAAGTCATTCTAAATTATTAAAACTTATCAAAGAATAATAAATTTGCACAGTTCATCAAATAACGTACCAAATGTCAGCTTAAAATCTGTTTTGTTAATGGTCACATAGCGGTAAAGGTGACAGGATAGGCTATTTGTGAAGACTACTTTGTCGGATTAATTACTGCTCAGCGGAATTCTGAACTCGAGCTGTGATTGGCCGAGAGGCTGGAGGGTGGGCCTTATGGCGACACATCACCTCCAACACCCAACCAGGAGTGTTGATCAACTTCATTTACTCAGCAGTGTGGGGAAAGGTGTTGCTGGCATACCGACGAGCAATGAAGGTTGACCCAATAGGTTTAGTGCCAGGTTGTTGCAGGTTCGGCAATAAATTTAGATTTCTATCTAGGAGGAAACGGTTGAGTGAAATTTTTTATCCATGCTGGTAAGACTTCTGAAAATTTAATTTGGCGACGAATTTTTAACGAGAGAAGCCTATAATTCAATTAAAACTTGTCTGTTTAATTTATAAATTTAAAATTTTTGAAATTTATAAATTCAAATAATTTATCGGTTTTCAATGTATAGATATTGCCAAAAATTTGGAATTTATAGAGGAATTAAAGTGGTACATAAAGGAACTTTCAGTTTAGAAATTAATAAATTTCATACATTTTAAAAGTACATTAAGCATCACTGTAATTAGTACTATGACGAAGTCTTGCCTGAAATTTAAAATACATAATTTCGGCCAGCTACAATAGTGTGCAACTTTAATTCAATAAATTAGAACTGTTCAGTGTATTTTGAGGTTTTTAGAGATTAAAAAGTTTAAAGTTAATTGCAGTTATTTTAGGTTTAATTTTAATGTGCACAGGTTAGTGACTACTATCTTAAAAAATAATAACGAGAATGTTTCTTCATACTCTGAAGAATGATCCGTTAAATATAGTGTGGAGCGGAAACTGGCTTCAGTTCTTCCTTTTAATGTGGTCAGTTATCAAGCGAGGTTAGCCAGCCAGCCAGTCGACCTTCAAATAATAAGCGCATCTGTAAAGCTTTACAACGAAGCACTTCCTGTCAATATATTTTTTTTTAATTACCCAGAAGGTTGTGTACATGACGACAAAGGTGATTGTAGTAAATAAAACCGAAAAGCACAAAATTAAAGTACACATGAAAGTGATCACGGCTTAATCTGCAACACCACAATGACGCTGCTATAATTACCTTAAAATAAGATATAATTTACCATTTTGATGAAAGACTACCGCGGTCTGTGTTGGAATTTGATTGATCAACTGGACGGTAGACTAAACATTTCTCGTAACTATGCGCCCCGTGGTTTATGGGCAGCCTCTGGCTCGGTCACCTTCGTGTCTTAGGTATACTTACTCCAAAAGTTGTATAATCAGTCTGGCTAATACTTTTGTTTTCCCCCGAACATAATTGGCTCCTTTGGAAAACTAATAAAATTATAGGACTAATAGTTCCAATAAACTGTGTAGCCAGCTTATAAAGATAAGCTAGCTGTGAAAATTATTAAATCCCAGGGCAGGTAAAGAATATTCATCATTCACAGAATATTAAAATACTAGACGTCATTCAGGATGACAATAAGAGCAAAAGAATAACGATGTTAAAGGTATCAGATTAAAAGGATTTTGTCACCGACATGGAATAAAGAACTTAACATCTATTAGCCTTTCCTAGTCTATAGTAAAAACTTTAGCTAGTTAAATGCATACTACTAGATTTAATTTCTTGCTGATCCATTGTCATTTTAAATACTCATTCTTTTCACTTTTGACCGTTACAAACCCGAATTTGTTTCATAGCACAGAAAAAATAATCCCTGGGTGTGCTTTCTAATTAACATGCAGAACCTGATAACCTTCGATGTATTTCAATCTATCCACTTCGCTTAAAGTAGTCTGCCTTCCCACAGGTCCGCCTCCAGACCCAAGACTTCAAGAACCCGATGTACAGAGGAACCTGGCACTGCCTTAGCGACACAGTCAAGAAAGAGTCGGTAAGCTTTCAGTACTTGTTTTGGTTCTTGAGGATTAGCCTATAGATAAAGATTGTTTGCATTTGATTGTCACCTGCGGAATAAGACGGTCCATAGAAGCACTTAACAGGTGTAAATATAGTAGATAGTAGTGGGACCATATCTTCCGTTAATTCTGGCCCAATTGACAACTTGTTCTTGTGGTTGGCAGGTTCGTGGCTTGTACAAGGGTATGTCGTCACCGATGGCTGGAGTGGCAGTTGTGAATGCTATAGTCTTTGGCGTCCACGGCAATATGACTAAACACCAGAAAAACCCCAACTCACTCTGGTACGTTATGATCAAGCTGTTTACTTTTCTGAATATTAGGAACGATATAATAGTGATCTTGTATATTCGGTGGTCTATTTTTAATAACTTCAAAATTAAAGTTAAGGATTTTTATAATTTTAGCTTAAGTAATTATTGAACTCGCACACAATAACTAGAATAGTAAACCTGCTGTACCTTTCTGTATATTAATCCAATTTATAACTGTTAGGCCTTCAGTTTTAGAGCAGTGGAGGTAGTGTGGGTAGTATGCACCTGGTGTTACAGCTGCCCTCCCACAGGTCGCAGATGATGTGTGGGGCCACTGCTGGCTTCTGCCAGTCCTTTGTATCTTCGCCAATGGAGCTAATTAAAACCCGCGTCCAGATACAGACAGAAGCCTCAGTAATGAGTGTAAAGAGCCTGAGCACTGCGGCAACTTCCTCCAGTACAATAAACCACTGCGCCACCTACAGCAGCCCGCTCGACTGTTTGAAAAAGATATGCACTACGGAGGGCTGGCGAGGGCTCTTCAGGGGGCAACTCATCACTGTCGCCAGAGACGTTAGTAATTGTTCTTTTTTTCTCTAAAACAAGATGTTTTAATCATAGTGACAACACATTGATTAAAGGACCCAATGTCAATTGGGGGGGGGGGGTGATAATTGACATTAAAATGTGCACTTTATTTTTAATGTTTAGTAACCCAACTGATCTTGATTTCTTATATTCCACATACATCAGATAATTGTTAATGGATTATTAACAATTAACCAAACTGATAATGCTACACAAATAATTTTTTTCGTAAATTTCCTCTAGTATATTAAACCAGTTCTTACAGTGAAGAATGTTATTTGCTATTTCTAGCAACGAATGTTATTTGCTATTTCTAGCAACCCTTATCGGCTCGGGTTTTCAGTTAAAAGATGTGGACAAATACAGGGTCGCACACTTCATATAAAAGGTTCCTTTTCATATAAAAGACTATTAAATGGTTACAGATTTTTGCCGCCCCCACTCTGGAAGCCTAGTAACTAGAGGACAAACCTGCCGGATTTGAGGGGGTTAACTAACATTCAAACATTGGCTTCTATTAATTTTTCAGATCAGCGTAACATAATTTGGAACTTTAGTTGTTATTCACGCATAACTGCTATGCAAGTAGTAACATATGTCGTGCGACAATTAAATTAGAAAAACTCCATGTGTTACTGAAGATATGTTTTCAGGTGCCAGGATTTTCTTCGTATTTCGTCACCTACGAGTACCTGAGCCGCTCCTGCGCAGCCAGTGATGGCAGCATCCCTGCTTTGGCCGTACTTGGTGCTGGAGGCTTTGCTGGCGCAGCTTCTTGGGTCTTGACTTACCCCATAGATGTCGTAAAGTCCAGACTCCAGGTGAGTGAAAAAATACTTTAATCTTATTCGAGGGTACATTTTGCTTACTCAACTTTATTAGAACAACGGTAAAGAACTGTAAGATAAAAGCACAATAAAATCTCTCCTGTAACGTCGCATAGTAATCATTAAATTTTATGGACTGCAGATAATAAAGCTCAAATCCTAAAAGTTTAACGATTTTTCTTACAGGCTGACGGTATCGGTGGCGTTACTAAGTATAAGGGCATCATTCACTGCGCCAAAACAAGCATAGCAGCGGAAGGTATCGGTGTAATGTTTCGTGGCCTGAACTCTTCCTTACTCCGCGCATTCCCTACCAATGCCGCTACTTTCGCAGTCGTCACCTGGACTCTGCAACTGTGTCGACTTCGGGAGGCTCGTAAGGACATGCCTCAGTCCTGGAGGGAGGTACTTGAGGGGGGCGAGGCACTGGTCAAGGCAGCAAGCGTACCAACCTCCTTAGAGCCAACGCTGAACTCCCAGACCCAGTGGCAGAGCTCACTGGCCTTCCTACCCCAAGTTATGGCCGACTCAACCATGGGCTCTGGTATGGAACAGGAAGAGGAAACTAGTGGAGAACCCCGGCAGTGTGACTGTGGTGGTGATTATAGTAGCGTTGCTTCTTCCGTAATGGGAAGAATACCAGAGTTGTTGGGTAACGATGGTATGGGTCATAATGGTGTGTGGAAGAGTCGTGGTGATATTCTTTGCTGCACTAGACCCTCATTATGGGCGCTCACCAAACACCAACACAACCTTAGTATAGTCTTGTAGTTTCCACGTGTTCACACAAGATACTGCTAATTTTGGGTGACATAAATTATTTTAATTTTTATAAGTTTTCAAGTGGTAAAGTACTACCACTCAATATTATATATATATTGACGGCAATGTCGTTTTGTGAGGATTTTAACTAATGACAAAACTGTTCTGTCCTTTGGCAGTACTTAACATAATTATATATGTAGATGGTATGTATAACCCTCTTATAGAGGGTTTTTAATTTTAAAGTTGGTGTGCAACTATAGGGTAAACACACTATTTTTAGTAAAATTATTTACTTTAAATGCTTTTAAAGCCCATTATCTCGTTAAATTATAAAAAATTTGCTCGCATTTCCTTCAAACCAAACACATTGCAGGTTGTCTGTCGGAAGAGCATTTTTATTTACTGTAGGATCTTGGAATCTGTGAATTAAAAGTATCCTAATCTAAATTAATAATTTATTTTTGTTGCCCCCCTTGCGAACACTGCTGACCTTGGCCTTCTATTTTTAAAAATTAATAAAGTAAGGGGAGCAAATGTATTTTTTGCAAGATGTAAGAAGTTATTTTAAATATTCGGAAAAAGAGTAACCCAGATTTCCTTCATGATCAGGTCTTGATGGAGCGCCGCCCTGCTCCTTATTCTCCCTCTTACGGTCGTGCCTTGTTGAATGTCCTGACTTCCGGGACGAGCGTGTCTTGTTTTCCAACCGTCCCCCGCGGTCGCTTGTCCCTCGATAGTATTCTTTGACTGATACTTTTGATATCGTTCGCCTTATGCGTTTCTGTTCTCGTATTGGCATCCTTGGTGATATTTAGCGCCCTCTGATTATCCCGCACATTTGATGGTACTACATAGCCTTCCCGATTTGGTGCCTTCGTTTGACAATTACTTCATGACCAGGTGTCAAAGGGAAATTAATAAATTTTAAATTTAACGGTTGGATGTATAGGTAGTGCCGGTATCTGGCTCACTTTCTTCAGTTAAATCGGCATTGATGCAGCTACCCTAGACTATTATGAAGGATAGTGTAGAGAGCTACACGATGCAAAAAAAAAAAAAAAAAAACAATCTCGCAGGATTAGTAGTACAGATGTTTGGCGTTGTCTCGGCAACGTATTGGTGGGTCTGTGTGATCTCGAGACAATGGCGAGTGCCAGCAGGCACTTCTCCGACGTAGGTTACCGTTAGCTCGTGTTAATGCCTGGGATAGTATTGGAGATGCTATTGCTATTCTGTTAGACCACAACCTAACAAGATACCGTTTGGGGGGGTCACAGTGTATAGTTTTCCAGTTGGTTGTGTGGAGTGCGGGTCTGGTGCCTGCTTTTTCTGGGTACGCAGGAGTAGCAAATCATCAGTCTAGTGTTTATCGCCAGAAAGACACAAGGTTTTTCGTAGACGGACGACGTATATAAGAGAAAGGCTTTGAGCTTTACCCTATTAACTGGTACCACGGGGGGCACATCGGGCACTTCTGACGTTGTGGCCCCTAAATAACCCACATTTCGGTAGCCTTTAAATGGAAATATCATTAAACCACTCCTGCTGAAAGGGCATTTCAATGTTACATCTTGAAGCGCAAACAAATCTATCCATATCTTCAGTGTAGGACATGTATAGTTTCTTGTGAAAAGGCCAAGAAGTTTTTTAAATTCCGGATTTTAGTTCTTGATCTTTAAATAGGTCGGACACTTGAGGAAAACCATTGATGCTGTTGGTAACAACTGTATACTTAGGACACAACTGGAATTAAGACTGGTGCTCTGACGCCACTGCGAACTTGGACCTACAAAAAAAGTACGCAATATTTACTACGGATAATGATATTCGCCTCTATGCAACACTGTCCAGTCTACCTTTGTGTGCGTATGAAAGAACTTTCACGTCGAAGAACTACAAAAATTCTTTAGCTATTGACAAACTTATCTGCGTTCCGAATATCATATTTCTTGTTTGTTTTACTTAGGCGGTGTAACAACTTCTGCTCTGTTGAATCTTGGCTAAAATCTGATTGGGTTTGTAACTGCAATGTTGGATAATGTTTCCCCCTCTGACCGTTAATGGACTGTACGGTTCCAAAATATTGAAATTGCTGTATTGGAAAGAGGAAATAAGTCATGAATTTGATAATTGTTGGCCAATCTCTGCCGATAATATATTTTTTAGAGATTGAAAAACTCCAAAAGGAGGGTCCTAAACGATTAAAGTAAATTACTAAATTACATAATTTATGCGATTCGTGTAATTTTTGAAGTTTGATAAAATAGGATTAACAGTGTTAAAATGATCGTATTTTGTACAAATTTATTTTAAAATGTGCTACATAGCTTTCCCGGCTTGGTGTCTTTTGATAATTTACTTACTTTAAAAATAGGCATATCATTAGTTTAGTTTTGTAGTCTCATGGCTTTGGGACTTTGGTAATTTTAATTTTTAGTCGAAGCCAAAATAGTCAATTACCATAACGTGGAAATATTTAACTTTACTGCTTGAAAATTGGCGGAGAGTCATGGACTGTGTATTTGTTGATCCCGAGCCAAGAGCAATTAACCAGCATTTTGTGACTGCAGTGACAAATCGCAGAATTCTCCCCTATTACCTGGTATTTCCACGAAGGTTTCAACAATGTCGAGAGCAAGTGATTTAAATAAAACTTGAAATTTTAAGCGATTATTTCGCTGGGTTGTGAAAAATGCTTGAGATTGTTTGTGTAACTTACTAAAAAAACAAAAAAAATCCAATCATTCGAACTGGAGACTGGTGCGATTTATTTATAGCTATATTATTTATGTATAGAGCTATATTACCCACCTGCACAACACTGAAAAACAGGAGCGGACAATTTTAAAATATAACTAGGGAGTACGTACCCGTATATCCCAGCAAAGGAAACCTTTTTTCCAATTTAAATAACATTCAATACGATATTATGCGATGATAAAAGCAGTTATCAACAGCTCGACCATGCATCATCCTAGTTATCGAACCAAGAACAGTGGTTTCATACCAATACTTAATGTTCTTGTCTTTCAAACACTAGAAACTTGTTTGTAGTTACAAACCTTGTTACCTCTAACAAGATGTATTAATAAAAAATGTAATTAAATTAACTAGTTTCAAATGTGTTTTTTTTTAATACCAACAAAAATTTAATCCAAAGTAGTTTGTCAATTTTCTTTAATGGTAAATGGTCGGTCTATATTTTAAATTAACTTGGTACTGCAATTATGAATTTTTAATGTCCTATAATTTAAAATCCAATAGTCTAAAATGTTTTAATTTTATATTGCCGCAAATAAAAGCATTTTAGACAATGCACGAATCTTATTTATTCATTTATATATAACAGTTACCAAAGTTAACTGTTTTTTTGAGGTATGACTAAATGTCATGTTAATTTTACAGACCGTGCATAAAATGTTAGCTTGTCGCTTTTTTTTTTTTTTTTGGGAGGGGGGGGGGAATTATAAATTTGTTTTAAAAACTGTATACCAATCTTCTAGTAGAAGCCTCTCTGAAAAAACTGAAAAGTATTTAATAAAATTATATTTGCCAATTATTTCTGTAATGTTAAGTGGCTGCTCACTTAGGAAGAAAGAATAAAGGTACTGTCTTAATTTTAAAAGAGCAGGTCTTAATTTAAAAAGTATCGAACATGAAAATTTATTCACCTTTTTGACTAACTCAAATATTTAAAGACAATTCTGAAAATAAATTGGCTTTCCGTCAGGAAATTCAACTGTCACAAATGGTGCTGGCCATTAGTTGTAAGGGCGAGCTACCTATCGGACATATAAGCATGAATAGTTTATATAATGTTCATATTTATTCACAAATGCTTGACTTTCATCAAGCTCATACAAATACATCTATATTAAAGATAACGATGACTTGAAAATTTTGCAATCACAGAAAAAACAATCATATCAATTTGTGGGTTTTCAAAACAATATTTTTTTTAAAACTATGTACAGTATGCTCGCGGTCGATAAACTGTAGTCTATTATAATTCTTGCAATGTTTCAGTATCCGCATTTACATGGCTAAACTGGTAGGAAGTAAAGAGCACTGGTTCACCAGTCTTTCACTACCGCTTCCAGATTGTTTTCACTTTAGAAACCCTAAGTGCTTTACAACCTGAAAACTATTACCCTTTTTTATAACTACATAAATAATTCCCTAATGTACCAAAGAACAGTTACTTTTTTTTTTTTTTACATATGCCTGATGTAGTGGTTCATAAGAGATTAATGCATTTCATTCCCTTTAGGAAAAAATCTAAATTTTCTAATTTCAACGAGCTAACTTAATTGTAACAGTATTACTGTACTGTCTTGTTAAACATTTATCCTAATTACCTAATGCAAACCTAGAATAAAAAAATCAGAACCTCTTAAGCCTACTGTTCTCTAACTTGCGAACCAATCACGTATCCCAGTTTTGTGTATAATGAAATGCAAGTTTTAATACCTTAACGTCTGGGTTCTGCCGTAATTAACAAATTTGAGCTATGAATCGTTTTATTATTTAGATCATCTAAAACTGACAACTATTCATGCATCTGTATATGGTACGTTAATGAAAGACTTTACCACAAATATTCATAAGATTATTTCATTTTTGTAAACAAAATTCTAATATGTTCCTATAATTTCGCCAAAGAAAATAACTACTCTAATTATCCAACAATGGTGCTCATTTGTATTATCCAGTGGCGCTTATGTTTCTACTCGTTACTGGAAGATCAGCTGAAATAAAAAAAAAAATCCCTTGTCGAGAGCTTTAAGAAATGTATCCAGTAATGGGTTGAAACACCCCTTTGTGTGTTGTTACTCAAACCTTGTGTTGTGTGTTGGCTTTCTCCAGCGCTCTTCCTGACTGACTTCCAGCAAGCTAGATAATGGTAAGAACCCATCATATAAAATTAATACAGTACCTATAATTACTATACAAAATATGTACTGTTGAACCTAAAAGAAATCTACGTTTTGAACTACTGTATTGGCATACTAAGGGGCATTAGAAAACAGGCAATCTAACCTAACACTTTTAGGCATAATATTAGCAAACATAAGCCAAATATAAACAATCCTAAGACTAGCGCAATACAGATATGTACTATTTTAAGCTTGAGATGACATTGTTTTTTCTTTATCTGGCTTTTTACGCAATTGACAGTACAAAATCATTTTTTTTGTGGCCAACTACAAATTTTGTACATATATGCCATAGTCTATATGTACTATAATTCCGGAGGGATATTTTTCGTGATCTGCAACATATGCTATTGCACTGCAAGTTTTGGTCAAGATTCCACACATATCAATCGCTCTTGCCTAACTGATTGTAATAAATAACCGAACCCCAACACATGACATAAATTTTAGCTGAGTGATGACGTTTTTGTCCGTCCTGGACACCCCCCATTGATGATTTTGTAACTAGCTCATCAAGATTGTAACTTATTTAGCTAAATGAATTGTGGGGTTCAGTCCCTGAGCCCATTATGTGCCTCTAACCCTTTCCACTACCGCCCACAAGATGGGTATGGGGTGCATAATAAATGAACTAAACTAAACGTCCTGGACCCTTATCAGGTCGTGACTAGGACAAGTCCAGGACGGACCCAAATACTGTCACATTCCATGCGAGTTTGGTTATTTGTTGTGGCCACGTTAATATGACATTCTCTACACAGCTTGTGATATTCTCCATTATTTTATACTGAAAAAAATATTAATGATGCAGATTATTTTTGTTACGTTACTGTGGTATTTTGTGGCTACTATATCAATGACAAATGTTCTAATATATATATATAATCTGATTGAAGCTAAGTCGAGGATGTTTACCTGGAAAAGGAGTTTCCATAAATCTACTCTTACATATAGGCACTTGCACATACAGGCAATGGTCCTCTGAACCCATCCTCTAAAAATTACAGTACATGTAGCGACTGCGGAAACGTGACAACAAAATACGGACCGTTGGAGCCCCCAAACAAAAGGGCCACTTTTGTACTATTGTAACAATGTCTTGAAAGAAAAAAATCAACAACCTAATCATCACCCCTAGGCCCAATGTACTCAATCTTAGGCTTAATGTAATACATTTGTGCTATACTAGACCTAGGAGAGATTAGATTAAGATAGTTTGTTTCTCGTGATCTTCATAATATCAACGGTACAAGACTAAAAAAAAAATTGTAGCAGTCCACATTTTGTACATACAGTATACTCCTCAGTCGCTACACGTACCTCACGTTTTAGAGGATACATTGGTAAATATATAAGATGCATCTCTATACACTTGATAAACATTATTGTATGTAAAAAAGATCACAGAGTAGTAATATATGTTGCTGTGGCTGGTTAAGTGCCATTACCTGATATAAGAAAACGATCGCAAACAGCCTTAATAATTAAGGTTATTTGGGCACTAATGGTGATGTCACCCACTTCACCCCACACTTCTTAAGTGTTGTACACTGCCCGCAGGAGGGACTTGTACATAGCATACGTAAACACCAAATCCAGTTATAAGAATGATAATTGTCCAGGACGATTATCAAATCTTGAAATAATTATCGTCCAGGGCCAAGATTCATTAACCATTTACGCATCTTCTTACGAAATCTGTATATTTTTTCAACAAAAATGGCGGCTTTGTTTACACGTATCAAATAGTTTAAGAGCTTCGAAACTTAACAATTCAAAGTTATTACTGTTATAAACAACGTAGGTGTTTCAGAGTTCAAACTATTTATTAAATGTAAACAAAGCCGTCATTATTGCTAAAAGATTCATAGGATTCGTAAGTGAATGTATAAAGTTTAGGGGCCAGATTCACGAAGCAGTTATGCAAGCACTTACGAACCTGTACATCTTTTCTCAATCTTTGGCGGCTTTTTTTTTTAATTATTAAACAGTTAATGAGCTCCAAAGCACCAAGAGGCTGTTTATAACAATAACAACAGTTGATTAGGAAGTTTTCATGCTGGTAAACTGTTTAATAAATATAAACAAAGCCGTCAAAGATTGAGGAAAGATGTACACGTTCGTAAGTACTTGTGTAACTTATTCGTGAATCTTGCCCCAGGACTCTAGCCTAGTCCAGGACGGTTTCAAGTCATAATGATTATCGTCCAGGACGGACATAAACACCATGCTTCCGTATTTATGGTATAGATTTTAACTTTTTTATAACTAAAATTAAATTATTACTTAATACATGGCACAAGCAAGTTATTATGAGTCTAGACACAATGTGTCGTAGGGATCTTGAAGTAATACCAACTATCAAGAAAAGAAAAGTAACATTTTACAGGAATGCATGTCATATAAAGCAGAGATGTTTGTGAGAAATTATATCAATCAAATTAAGTGAAATATTGTAAATGATCAATAATTTGTCGAATGAAGACATACTAAGTATGCTTACCAACATATCAGGACAACGATGCATCTAGCTACACTACTGATGCATTATTTTGTGGAAAGCCTAATCATTCAGTGCCAACCTTAGTGTGTGTCAACCCTAGTCGGACAGTGCCAATCTTAGCGTATGTCACCCCTGGTCTGACAGTGCCAACCTTAAAGAGTCGAGAGACAAAATAGCAAAATGGAGTTCAACCAAATTTAAGGTTGCACATATTTATTAACGAATTCAAAATATTAGTTTGACTACCAAAGTAGTAAACACGATAAAAAATACTTTCAGTTTGAAGCATAAATCTATTGCAATAATAATATATACCCATCTTCTCACACGCGCACACCCATGGAATGACAGAAAAAGGCATGTCTGTGGAACAGATAACACTTTATCCCACTGGTGTTAATTATGACACTTTGTTTTACTTGACTTAAACATTATTAATGCTACTCATAATAATTCGTATTTAATTTTTAATTCTCTTATACTGTATGCGATGTAAAGCAGTCTTTATCAAATTAGTGATTGCAGTTAGTGTCACAGCGAATTTGTAATGAGTCGGCGATTAATTATTACTCCAGTAATAATTAAATTATATATTTTGTAGTAACATCTACAAAATTAAGTATTATATATAGCTAATGTGTCACTGAAAGAGCAAGGGTAAATTACTAAGGTCTATACACAAGCTATCCATAAACAATGAAATCAGTAGATAGGCCAGATCCACGATTTGTCTCGATAACCTTGATCTTACCTTTTTTCAATTTTGTACACACTAAGCTCTTCCTCTAGGTTACCTTGGTGCTGTGGGATCTTGAGCAGTTATGTATATCTTACATGACATGATTCAAAATGGGTATTCTGCATAATTAATATACAAGAGATGTGGTATTGCTAATTTTGTGGAACATATGTACAGCATATTCTACATTTTTCATATATAGTACAATGAATATAAAAACATAGGTTCCCTGAACAATGCTTAATATACATAGTAAGTTTTGATTTTGAGTGAGATATAGATATTGTAAACTAAATCCATCATGTGCAGTATCCTGATATAAAAAGTAATTAATATTACTCCGAGGCACTATGTACTGTCAATATAAGTGCAACCAACACCCTTGTGTTGAGTTCAGGTAACGGCCTGTCGAACATTGGAACTTATGTACACATCACATCCTGTCTAAATGATGCCTGGCAAGATTTTCATCACAGTTAAAAGGCATAAAAGTTTACCTAAATTTTGGGCAATTTATTGGGTGCTACCAAAGGATTAGACATCTGGATGAAATTTCGACCTGCTGCTCTATAGTCATAAGTGCAGGTGTGTGTCTCTGCATAACGATGCTGAGCACAGAAGATGCCACCACAGCGACATTCGTAAGTTGTTGCAACACCAAGACGTTTGGAACACTGCTGGCACTTTTGTTTCAGGCGCCCTTTCCGCCGAGGTGTGAAAGGAGGAAGATGAGAGGAAGCGACAGATACTTTCCCACTTCCTGGGCGCCGGTTGAGGAAACGTGCATCTTCAGGAGTAGTCCGCCTGGAAGCTCCACCTTGACTTCGCATCAGACCCCGCAATATGTCTCTCTGTTCTCGTGACCCAGAAGCCACCAGAGCACCTGGCCCTGGGGAAGGTGGTGTCCCACCGCGACTTCGTAGGGATGCCAAAGACACTGACACGGAGTTAGTTTTGTGGCTACGTGACAAACCATTACTAGTTGACAGGTTATCGGATAAATTAGACTTAGGAAAAGTAGTTTCTGGTGGAGAATTAGCCAAGTGATGCGACTGTCGTGAATTTCCTCTTGATGAACCAAGAATGTCACACAATTTACGAAGATTATCATCGGGGGCCCGCAAGTGTATACGCTCGCCAATAGTGCTCAGATCACCTGAGGTTCCTGGCCGCCGTTCTAAAACCTCAGGAGAAGTTTTAGGCCGGATGTGCGCAGTATGTTGAGCTGAACGCATAAGCGCTTGGTTATGAGATCGATTAAGGCGGCCATCATCATAACGACGAGTACGAGTTCTAGTAGTTTCAGGAAGCATATAAAGAGGCTTAGAGACATCTCTTCTAGGCCAAGCCTCAAAGGTATCTCTGTCACCTTCACTCTCGGTTCCATGGCCTCCAGAGTCCGTCCCTTTCCCGTGTTTTACTATTGATTTGCGATAGGAATCATAATGTTTACTTTGCACTTGAGTATTAGGAGTGTCTGGAAGAGGAAATAACCGTCCTCTTCCTGTGCTTTCATTTACGGAGTTTAATCTACTGCGATCACCTTGTGGACGGATATTCTCTAAGGGCTTCTTTCTGCTAAAATCAATGGGAATAGGATTGACATTGGGCAATTCCTTTAGGGTCGGTCTTGCAATGCTTGCTCGAACAAACTCTGAACGTTCCTGGGTAGTGGGCCGTGAGACTCGTCCACCCCGGCGGTTTACCGTGCTGAGAAGCTTACTCCCGCTATGCTGGCGTGTGCTAGACCTCGAACTTCCAACTGCAATGCGAGTTAGTCCCTGGGACATGTCCAGCTTCGAAGAGGGCAGGTCCTCGTGATTCTCAGTTCCAACTTTAGAAGATCGGCTTAATGATCTCCTTGAAGGGGGCGATACTTTCACCTTTTCACTTTTTGCCTGAAAAGATGAAATTTTTTGTTGTTTTAGATTCAGCTACTTGGAAGAAAATTTCTATGTAGCACGGGTTACAGATGAAATATGAAATAAGCAGACGAAGAGTCACAATAACGTGGCTGAAATATGTTGACCAAACCACACACTAGAAAGTGAAGGGACAACGACGTTTCGGTCCGTCCTGGACCATTCTCAAGTCGATTCCATGCACAATTGACTTGAGAATGGTCCAGGACAGACTGAAACGTCGTTGTCCCTTCATTTTCTAGTGTGTGGTTTGGTAAAATATGAAATAATATATATGATTCTATGAACATAAAAATAACAAATTGCAAAAGGCCTCTTTGCCCATGCAATGCAGCTCATTGAATAGTCATTGGCTTTGATAAATTTTCTTGTACAATTATAAGAGAAGATCTGTGCTTTACTCAAGAACATTTCCATAAGCTTAGCATGTGGATGAACGAGATGACAGTGAGAGAGGAAGAGCGATTGATCAGCAGTTTGTGCTCAACATATACATGGCAGGAAAATCAATTATCAGGAGAAAGTACTAAGCATATTTGGTTAAATATGACCGCATTGCTGGCACTGTTGCTCTTATAGTACAGTATAAGCTTTCTATGCTTCTATTTTCTTACTCTCGGGATTACGAAGAGCAATCGAGTTACCGAAATTCATGGTAAAGAAACTCTAATGGTTATTGAAGGGTGTATTTTCTTCGTTTCGTTTCACTCCGGAACATCTTCAGGTAAGGAATGAATATACGAGATTGATGAAGGTTAAGCTACGTAAGAGGTGGCACGGACATGAATAGCCCGTAATAATATACAAGGTGTAAATTTATCTTAAATTCAGACGTGAAAGAGGTGAAGTTGTGAGGGTTGTAAGGTGAAGTAATCACACACAGGTGAAGAAATAAGGGAATAATGGGATGGATACCACTGACCAGAGAAGACTGCAAATACTGAATGCTATACTCATAAAAAGACCCACCCTAAATATGTAAGAGTGACGACTTCGACACCCTTGTCTACGCTTAAATCCAGACCTTACAGCACCGGATAACACAGCCCGTCCTCAAAACAAAGACCCCAAAGTCCATTCCATGCACTCGCCGAACGCCCTATTTATGAATGAAAAACGGGAATCCCACAACTGATGACGTTCGAACACTTCCGGAACAAGTGCTTCACTGACGAATTTTGTTCGAATCACAACGCTGTAAATGCTTCACGCACGTACTACAAATACAAATAATCGCCAACAGATCCTGAACGCCTAACCTAACCAATGCCTAAATATGTACAATATGAGAATATCAAATAATATTAAACAATATTTGAGAAAATTTATGTTTTGAATGAACACAATGTTAACATTTCTGAATGCGTCTTTGGGGGTCGACCGCTGGATGGAATGGACTTACCCAGTGCTTGGCATCTATATTCTATTTTCAACAACAAAACCAGTTACGCAACAGCATTAGAAACTTGCATCATCTGCACCTGCCTTCTGGTTTAGTGTCGTGCTTTAGGCTTTCCAACCGTGGGAGCTTTATTATCACCGACACACGGCTTACTGCCCAACCAGCAGGCATACTTTAGCCTTAAACATAGTCCAGGACTAACGTAAACTCGATGTATATACACCGACAAACTAGGTACACCTGCTCATATATATGTAGGTGATGAGTCACAATAACGTGGCTGAAGAATGTTGACCAGACCACACACTAGAGGGTGAAGGGACGACGACGTTTCGGTCCGTCCTGGACCATTCTCAATTCGATTGTGTCGATATATATATCTGAAGTCGATAAATATAGTTTCCCTTGTCCAGTCTTCTTAGTTTGGTGTTGGATTTGAGGCCTATCAACCTTTGAAGGGTTATGAAAGCCTATCAACCTTTGGAGGGTTATGAAAGCCTATCAACCTCCGGAGGATTATTATGACCACCACAATTGCTTACTGATCAACCAAGAAGTATATTTTTGTCCTGATCATGGTCCAGGACTAAAGTAAACTCTGTGTTATACACAGAGGAGCAAGGTACATCTTTTTGTGTATATATCCCTTGAGCCAGTCTTCTTGAATCACCCGTATATTAATGACAATCGATTATTTAAAAACACGTATCCCACATGGATATAACCACCCCAGCATGTCATACAACATTGTAATTAAGCTACAGTATTACTATTATTACTATTTCAGCATTAATAGTATTATTTGCCAAAATGAAGTAAAAGCTACTAAAGTGACAAAAAAATATATATGATAATAATCCTCCACACCCCAGAGGGATTCGAACCCAGATAGCCAGGAGCACTATGCATCTTGGCGTACCTGGTACCTTAACCACACGACTGTACAAAAATCTTGATAGTCGTGAGACTACTTATCCAAGATCCGACAGCTCTCGGTGGTCAAGTTGGGAATAGCTATTTCATCGAATCACCTCACTGGTGATTACATTTCAATGAATCACCTCACCTCTACCAAGATTTTTGTACAGTCGTGTGGTCTAGTGGTTAAGGTACCAGGTACGCCAAGGTGCATAGTGGCTGTGCACTGTGCACTATGCACCTGGCTGTCTGAATCTAGGTTTGAATCCTTCTGTGGTGTGGAGTTTTCAAGTTACATACAGGCTTGGCACCCATTCAAGCTTGTTCGCATGATAATAATGTAAATGCGATAAGAGGCCATAAGAAGTCTTTTCTTTTACTACTCGTCATAATATCGTTCTTCAAATCTGATTAGCATTTTGAAGACTTGCTTGCCGACCTGGACCTGTGCCTCACACACAACACATATCCTGCACACTTCGATTCGTTCGATCATTTCCCCAACAGAAACACCAAAGTGTGTGATCTTTAAGGAGGTCAACATACCTTGTTCCTGATCTTCATTTCCGCCATGCGGGCCCTGATCTCTACCATGCGTGCTCTTGTCTTGGCTTCTTCTTCCGAGACTTGTTGTGTCTGGTTGGCTAGCTCCTCCGCCCGCCCGCTGCTGAAAGACGTTAATTGAATCATACGATGTACTATATAACCTTCACGGCTTGGCATTTTATTTTTATAATTACTTGAATTATATGTTCTAGTATTATAGCTCAGAGGTTGTGTGTGAGAGTGTGTGTGTGTGTGTGTGTGTGTGTGTGTGTGTGTGTGTGTGTGTGTGTGTGTGTGTGTGTGTGTGTGTGTGTGTGTGTGTGTGTTTACTAGTTGTGTTTTTACGGGGGTTGAGCTTTGCTCTTTCGGCCCGCCTCTCAACTGTCAATCAACTGTTTACTAACTACTTTTTTTTTTCCCACATCACACACACACACACACACCAGGAAGCAGCCCGTGACAGCTGACTAACTCCCAGGTACCTATTTACTGCTAGGTAACAGGGGCACTTAGGGTGAAAGAAACTTTGCCCATTTGTTTCTGCCTCGTGCGGGAATCGAACCCGCGCCACAGAATTACGAGTCCTGCGCGCTATCCACCAGGCTACGAAGCCCCCTCACCAGGCTACGAGGCCCCCCCTGTGTGTGTGTGTGTGTGTAATTACCTAAGTGTAATTACCTAAGTGTAGTTACAGGATGAGAGCTACGCTCGTGGTGTCCCGTCTTCCCAGCACTCTTTGTCATATAACGCTTTGAAACTACTGACGGTTTTGGCCTCCACCACCTTCTCACTTAACTTGTTCCAACCGTCTACCACTCTATTTGCGAAGGTGAATTTTCTTATATTTCTTCGGCATCTGTGTTTAGCTAGTTTAAATCTATGACCTCTTGTTCTTGAAATTCCAGGTCTCAGGAAGTCTTCCCTATCGATTTTATCAATTCCTGTTACTATTTTGTATGTAGTGATCATATCACCTCTTTTTCTTCTGTCTTCTAGTTTTGGCATATTTAATGCTTCTAACCTCTCCTCGTAGCTCTTGCCCTTCAGTTCTGGGAGCCACTTAGTAGCATGTCTTTGCACCTTTTCCAGTTTGTTGATGTGCTTCTTAAGATATGGGCACCACACAACAGCTGCATATTCTAGCTTTGGCCTAACAAAAGTCATGAACAATTTCTTTAGTATATCGCCATCCATGTATTTAAATGCAATTCTGAAGTTAGAAAGCATAGCATAGGCTCCTTGCACAATATTCTTTATGTGGTCCTCAGGTGATAGTTTTCTATCTAGAACCACTCCTAGATCTCTTTCTTTATCAGAATTCTTTACAGATTTCTCACATAATATATAGGTTGTGTGGGGTCTATGTTCTCCTATTCCACATTCCATAACATGACATTTATTAACATTAAATTCCATTTGCCAAGTGGTGCTCCATATACTTATTTTGTCCAGGTCTTCTTGAAGGGCATGACAGTCATCTAAATTTCTTATCCTTCCTATTATCTTAGCATCATCAGCAAACATGTTCATATAATTCTGTATACCAACTGGTAGATCATTTATGTACACAATAAACATCACTGGTGCAAGAACTGAACCCTGTGGTACTCCACTTGTGACATTTCTCCATTCTGATACATTGCCTCTGATTACTGCCCTCATTTTTCTATCAGTCAGAAAATTTTTCATCCATGATAGAAGCTTACCTGTCACCCCTCCAATATTTTCCAGTTTCCAGAACAACCTCTTATGTGGAACTCTGTCGAAAGCCTTTTTTAGGTCCAGATAGATGCAGTCAACCCAACCATCTCTTTCCTGTAATATCTCTGTGGCTCGATCATAGAAACTGAGTAAATTCGATACACAGGATCTTCCAGATCGAAAACCATACTGTCTGTCTGATATTATATCATTTCTCTCTAGGTGTTCTACCCATTTAGTTTTGATTAGTTTTTCCAATACTTTCACTATTACACTTGTCAATGATACAGGTCTATAATTGAGGGGGTCTTCCCTGCTGCCACTTTTGTAGATTGGAACTATGTTAGCCTGTTTCCACCCGTCTGCTACGATTCCTGTACACAGGGATGCCTGAAAGATCAGGTGAAGTGGAATGCTGAGCTCAGATGCACATTCTCTCAGAACCCATGGTGAAACGCCATCTGGGCCAGCTGCTTTGTTCTTACCGAGCTCCTTGAGCATTTTTTCCACTTCGTCTCTAGACACCTCTATGTGTTCTATGTTGTTCTCTGGAATTCTTATTGTATCTGGTTCCCTAAAGATTTCATTTTGTACAAACACACTTTGGAACTTTTCGTTTAGTGTTTCACACATTTCCTTTTCATCTTCCGTGAATCTATTTCCCATTTTCAACCTCTGAATATTATCCTTTACCTGCAATTTGTTGTTTATGAATTTATAGAATAGACCTGGTTCTGTTTTACATTTGTCCGCAATCCCTTTTTCAAAATTTCTTTCTGCCTCTCTCCTCACTGCCGTGTAGTTGTTTCTCGCATCTTTGTATCGCTGGTATGTTTGGGGGTTCGGCCTCTTCCTGTATTGATTCCATTTTTGTGTCTTTCGGTCTCTAGCCCTCTCGCAATTTCTATTGAACCAATCCTGTTTCCTAGTTCTGCATCTCTGTTTTGGTATAAATTTTTTTGTGCCTTTATCATATATTTCACAAAACTTGCCATACATCTCATTCACTTCCTTGCCTAGCATCAAGTCTGTCCAATTATACTCACTAAAAAAATTTCTAAGGTCACCATAATGTCCTCTCCTGAAGTCTGGTTTTTCAACTGCTTCAACCTCCTTATTTTCTTCCAGCTTATAACGCATTGCATACTTTATTCCCAAAAAGACATGGTCACTTTTACCCAAGGGAGGAAGGTACTGAATGTCAAATATCTCTTCCTCCTTCCTGGTAAATATCAAATCTAGCATGGAGGGAACGTCCCCTTCCCTCATCCTCGTAGCTTGTTTAACATGTTGATACAAGAATGTTTCCAGGATGAGGTCTGCAAATTTACAGGTCCAAAAATCTTCTGTTTTAGCTTCATATGCTTCCCAGTCTATGGATTTCAAGTTGAAGTCACCGACTATCAACAGTCGTGATCTATCGTTATCCGCTCTCGCTATAATCTCTCTCATTATTGTTATAAGACCTTCACGTTTACTATCTAGCTCCTCCTTTGACCATGTGCTGCTTGGCGGTGGACTATATGCATTTATCATCATTAGTTTATCATCCTCATGGCAGGTCTCTAGTGCTATTATGTCAACTTCTTGTGGATTGGCAGTCATTATTTCCTTCACCTTTAGGTGTTCTTTTACCAGCACAGCAACGTCACCGCCTTTCCTAATTTTTCTGTCCCGTCTCCAAATTGAGTAGCCCCTTGGGAATATGACCTCATTTAAAATTACATCTTCAAGTTTTGTCTCCGTGAGTGCAACAATGTCTGGTGTCTGCAGCTGTATTACATCACTTAACTCCAGTATCTTCGATCTCACTCCATCTATGTTGGTGTATGCAATCTTCAGGAACTTGTTCCCCCTCTCCTTATTCTTCACTCCCCCTCTCTCTATTGATTTTGTTGGTTTGCCTTTATGTACCACTTTACTGGTTTGCCTACCCCTATCACTTTGTAGAAAAAAGAATTTATTTCTTCTTCATTCCTGCTCTCATTTAAATGTTTTGCCTCGGCGAGGTTCAGTTTCAGCTTCTCTCTATCTTCTTTTGAAAGATCTCGTCTTAACGACCACCCTTTCCCATCCTCATCCCTTTGCAATTTTCTAGCATTCCTTAGTACTTCTTCCATCTGTTTGGCACCGTTTAGGGTGATCCTCAAAGGTCGATCTTTCCCTTTTACGTACCTGCCTATTCTCCTGTAGTCACACACATTCTCTCTGTTTGTAAGACCTTCCACGAGGCCAACAATTTTATCTACTACTTTAGCTTCTTCTACAGCTCTTTCTGACCTAGATGTTATCGCCTTTTCTTTGCAGCCAAAAATGATCAGGGACTTACTCCGATCAACTGTGTTTTGCACCAACTTCGGGTTAGATGCCAATTCTTTCCTCACTTCTAGCCTAATGTTTGTTTTATCTTGGTTGCTGCAGTGTTTGACTTCCTTTACTGCTTCTTCTATTTTTTCCTTCTCCTTGGCCACTTGTGCATAAGTGAGTTGCATATCTTTCTTGCACTGTTCTATTCCCTGTGTAACTTCCTCCATCTGTGCTGACAAAAGCTGTTTCTCCTGTTGAATTTCCTTGCCTAACCTATTGTAGTCATTTATGTTTAAATTTACTTTAACTTCTTCCAAAGCTATTTTTAAGAGTTTATTTTCTTCTTCCATGGCTTTGCAATTTGTTTCCAATTGATTCTTATCCTTGCGCAAGTCTTTCACTAAACCCTCAAGACATAAAACTTTGCTATTCAAATGGTCATTACTTTCTTTCAATTTACTAATTATTTCTACATGAGAGTTCACTAAAGTATCTAAATTTACCAACTTGTTATGTAGACTACTAATATCAATGCTTTCTTCATTGAATCCCTCAAAATCAAGCTCTGTTTTGTTTTTCCCCTTGCCAGTGGCCATCTTGAATGTTCTTCTCTGCACTGTAAACACTAGGGCAACTTTTTCTCATCCGATTTTTCACTTCCCTTAGCACTTTCCTGTTATCTCACCTATTTTTCAAGAGCACTATACCTTTATGTTCTCTGGGACACCACTCACTACCATCAACCTGTACTACAATACTTAGGATTGTTGAAATATGCTGGAGCTCCTCTGCTGCAAGTGTTGACCCTAGGGGTGTCACCTTTTTGTGTATGTATGTAGGTGTGTGTGTATGTGTGTGTGTGTGTGTGTGTGTGTGTGAGAGTGTGTGTGTGTGTGTGTGTGTGTGCGTGTGTGTGTGTGTGTGTGTGTGTGTGTGTGTGTGTGTGTGTGTGTGTGTGTGTGTGTGTGTGTGCGTGAGTGTGCGCGCGCGAGTGTACCGGTGCATGTTTACGGAGACATATACACGCAGTGTGGTTGAACAACCTGCCCATGGAGCCCCAGGACTCATTGAGAGGCGAGAAGGACCCGTCCTGGTTCTCCACCACGCGGTACAGGTTGACGTTCTCTCCGTCTCGCAGCACAAGCAAGGTCACCGTGCGGCCCCCAACACCGTCCCAAAGGTCATCTCTGTAAGGTCAAGATACTGTATTAATAACAATACTTTGCTTACCATTATCCCTCCACTTGATTACAAGGTCATAGTAGTAGTAGAGCCTGGACCTAATTTACAATTACTGTATTTTGCAGGGTTTCCTAGTAAACGCCGGACCTAATTTACAATTAGTTTGCAGGGTTTCCTAGTAAAAGCCGGACCTAATTTACAATTATTTTGCAGGGTTTCCTAGTAAAAAAAAAAATACTATCAAACACGTAAGCCACAATGCACTTATAGATGTAAGTGGAGCGTGGACTCCTTGACTTTTATATTTTATATTGAGCAACAGTACTTTTGTAGTCCATTTCACCCAGTACTTAATCTTTAAACCTGCTAGATATTTCATGACGATCCTAGAGCATCCTTCAGCACTGATTCTTAGTCTCGTTATGTACTGTTGATTCCTCAGATATTCTCACAGTTACCAACGGCACATAGAACGTTCATGCTTCAGACAACATACACAATATATTTGACTGTACTTCATGTCTTACAAAGGGTTTACTTTAAACTGCATGTATCAGTGTTTTTTCAGGATTACTGGCCTGAATATGGTAGGCTTGTAATGTAAATTATATGCATTAATATACATAAAATTTTCATTGTCGGTGACATGAAATCTAGTCTTTAGGCTTATTGAGGCCTCCTAGGCTAACTGCATCCTTGATTGGTGAAGATTAAGCCACCCAAGAGGTGGCACGGGCATGAATAGCCCGTAAAATTGCACCCTGCTTTCCCAGGATGCGACTCACAACAATTGACAAACTCCCGGGCACACAGAGGCATCATTCATCTGATGCCTCTGTGAACAGCGGCATCAAATAGAAAGAAACATGCCCAACAGTTTCTGTTTTACGTGTCATGTGCTGAACCAAGAGTGGTTCAGTACAGACAAGTGAGAGATGCCACACATCTTCACCATTCACCAACAACAATGTAACCCTCGGTGTCCAGTTCCTACCCTCAAGGTCACCACTCATCAGGAGTTACTGCCCTGACGAGTGGTGACCGAGTGGATTCTGACCGCTATGGGGCTATCCCGTCTTCACCATTTAATGAGCGTAAAATTTGAAGTGGTTTTTCCTAACCAGAAGCGTTCAAACCTAGACAACCGAACTGTGGAGGCGCACGCTCATTAATCCATGACAGCATCAGTATTACAACACGTAAGGTGTGAGGCCAGGTTGTGGCGGCCGCAGAGAGAGGAATCCCGCCAACGCAGAACTTACCTGTTGACATCGATGTATTCAGTAACCTCGCGCCAGAGAAGGTCTTCCTGGGTGGGGAGCCGGCGAGCGTTAATGGGTCCCCCACGCATAGATAACACCAGCCGGAGGGTCGAGCCATCCATTACGCCTTGTTCTATCAGACACGAATCGTCCAGCAACTCTCGCTCACCCAAAATTAGGTGCTGGTGGCTAGTTGGGATTCCTGGGGGTCAGAAGCCAATTATTAGTGTTGTCGTTCTGGGACTGTGAATTACACACTGACACATTAAAGTGCAAGAAATTATAGTATGTAAGAGCTAGAATAGCAGCTGAGTAACTGTATGAGAATGACATAGCAGCCAAAACAAAAGCCCAAGCTAAGCTCCTACAAAGACACATGAGGAGGAAGACAACTATCATTAACCAAGCAATCAGGTTAAGCAAGAGTGAGTTTAATAGAAAATGGCAAAGATATGCATGAATCATTAAATGATCAATTCCAAGACATTTTTGAACAGCGAACCTTGAGCATGAGGCCTTGCCCTGCAAATATCTGAATAAAATATATGTGACATCAAGAAGAGATAAGAAAACACTTGCATGATCTGGAAGTAAAGAGAGCTATGAGATCAGATGGGATATCTTCATGGATAATGAAAGAGGTAACTCCTCACTGAAGAGCTGTCACATTAATGGAATACAGCTACTGTGGTGCCTATGCAAAAAAAAAGGAAAGCGGCAAGAGCTATTAAATTACAGGTCAATATCACTAACAATTATTTTGTACAAGGTACCTGAGAACCTAATCAGAAAACTCACAAAGCAAATATAAAATATGGGCTTTCTAGGGAAGATTATTCCTCAAAAACATAATCCGCTTCCCAACGGAGGCCACCTTCTCGAGGATATGGGACGTGTATGCTTCATTTTACACAGGCGGGCACTATGGGTGGGTGCCTTGGGGCACCCTGTAGGGTCACCCATGTCACAGTGTCTGCTGGAGGACCAAGAGCTGACCTGGGCGGCCAATACGGGTCATCGGATCCACCCACTAGAGGTCGCACTTGTGGCCGCCAATTCCCTCCTAGTTAAAAATGGGAGGCACCTCCGACATTCCGACCCGTGGTCACCATACACATGGAGGCCTGGTTACCCCAACTACTATAAAGCCAAGCTACATGCAACACTCGTTTCTCTTCCTTCTAGAAGATGACTTATCTAGTCGAGTTCTCTTTAGATTTCATGTACTGAAATATATATAGCAGATAAGGGAGTTAGTAATAAAATGTTATTTATCATACTGATGTTTGTGTGCCAAATGCTGAGCACTTCAAAGGACATGTGCGTTTATGCATATGAGTAATTATCAAAAGAACGCACCAAACCGAGATTATGTATATATCTATATGACTAATCGTATACAAGTGTACACTGGATCATGAACCTTACCTTGAGTGCGATACAAGAGGCCTTTGAGCCCGAGAGCGGTGTCCCACTGAGAGACCCTCACGCGATAAGAGTCCCCCATAAGCGTCTCCACTGTCACCTCGATGGCATCCTCTTCCTCATCGTCGTCGGCATACTCTCCTGCTGGGGGATACGACGAGTCCAGCGCGATGGAGTCGTCTGCATCTAGGTCCTCCTGGTGAAGGTGAGGCCCCAACCCGCGGCGCCGCCCATTGGTATCCTCTTCGTCGGAGTCGGAGGAGTAGTATCCGGACCCTTGCGCGTCCTTGCCGCCGCCAGGGAAACGCTGATGGTGCCCCTTGTTCCCTCCCCCGCCCCGCATTCTGGTCAGGGCGACGTCCGGGGGTGGCTCAGACCGCCCACCATCTTGTCGAGGTGGCCAGCGGCGCTCGGCGGGTCCTCACCTCCATCTTTATCTCTCCTCTTTCGCTCTTGCTTTCCACTCTCCTTAAGGCATTATTGCTCCCATCTTCCAGACACGAAGCTGCGTGCTGAGAGGCTGCAATAAATTCTGTCTCTCTCTCTCCCTGGCCACTAAGTTACATCACAATATGCGATACGGCACCATGTTTTGAAAAAGCTAAATAAAAGGGACTTGCTATTAAGACACAAATTGGTAGTTAGATCCATCCAGAAGTATCACATTGCTCAAGGCACTTGGGGGACTGGTGGTTTGTATTCTTCACCTCCAACATTTGATTTGGTCTAATCTCCAATATGGCCGCTCTCAGTCATCTTACATTTCTCCTGAAATAAGCAAATAAAATTTTAATTAGCTATACAATATTCAAATGGTCTTGAATTTAAATTAGACATTCTGTTATACATTATACATTGAATGTATACACATTCACATTGTGTATACATTCAATGTTATTTAACGAAACAGTTATTATCTACGTGCGCGACAATAATTTTGGTGACCTTTTTCTTTAGACAAGCACAGTAGGCTATTACCTTAGGCTATGCTGAGTTAGGTCTGGATATACTGGTTACGTTAAAATAGGTTAGGTCTGCATGGCTTGACTAAGATTAGTTAAATTAGTTAAGCAGTGCTATTTCCAGTAGTGCACAGAGCCCGGCTCCTGGCAGGAATACACGACACTCATGCTGAAGGCAACGGGTGCGTTATGTTATCCTACACGACATCTAAATAGCGCAGCGCCTTATAGATCTTAATCCAAATAGCACCTTGACCCATGTGCCTACATCGTATATAGCCAACTGATCCTTTTGAATAGTACATCACATCTTGACGTGTATATCCTCAACGTCATAATATCATGTACTAAATTATTGCGGCTCGCAAAATTGACGGCCTGTCCCGTTTTCTATTCGTTGGTCCTAGATTAGGTTAGGTTAGGTTCCAACAATTTAGTGCCACATTTTTTGTGTCAACTCGAGAAGACAGCCTGATTAATCAATCTAACATGAACCATATAGAAAATGGGCAGCCCTTTGAAAGTTTGAGTTATTTAAATGTCTCGAAAGAATACAATTTAGCTAACTTATTGCCCCTGCGAGTCTGCTTCCAAAACTAATACAAGCCAAATTAATTCTTAAGCAGTCAGTAATCAACTCTATCTCCTGCGGGTTAACCAATCAATAATCAGCTGAGGGACCCCCCTAACCCTTCCCTCAACCAATAATCAGTTAGTGACCCTCCCTCACTCTCCCTACGAATAATCTGCTAGGGACTCCTCCCCCCCCCTCACCATCCTCCGACCAGTAATCACAAGAGCAAACCATCCTCCAGCCATGGGTTGCCCATCCTAGGTTAGGTTAGGTTAGGTTTTAGTTCTGATAATTATTTGTATTTGCAGACCCATCCTCCAACTCAAATGTCAAATACTGCAGAGTATAAGGCACAGAAACGTGGGTAAACACGTATAACCCAACTCGCATATATATATATATATATATATATATATATATATATATATATATATATATATATATATATATATATATATATATATATATATATATGTGTGTATCACGAAAATAAACACGTGATTAAGAATGTGACAATGTCAGACCACGAAGGAAAAATGAAACAGGAAATTTCCTTAAGTACTTTCGTATATTAAATACATCTTCAGAAGGTGAAGCAGTCAGTAATCAACCCTTCTTCCATAGACCTTCTGAAGATGTATTTAATATACGAAAGTACTTAAGGAAATTTCCTGTTTCATTTTTCCTTCGTGGTCTGACATTGTCATATATATATATATATATATATATATATATATATATATATATATATATATATATATATATCTGACATTGTCATATATATATATATATATATATATATATATATATATATATATATATATATATATATATATAAAATGAATGCAAGAGATTTTCAAACATTTCTATGTCAGTATTTGAAATGGACGTCAGACAACCAATTGACAGGTTCATTGTTTATATGGTACAATAAACTATTTTTTTATATCAAATACAACTTAATAGTTAGTACTATTGCAGGTTTATAGATAGATAGGTTTAGGTAAGGTGGTTTGGTTATGTTGATTTATGTCAACCCGTCCTCGACTCAAGTCCATTACATCCAGCGGTCGACCCCACAGACGCATTCATAAATATTTACATGCTGTCCATTCAAAACGGGAATTTTCTCAAATATTAATTAATATTATAATATATTAGCACATTGTGCATATATAGGCGTAGGTTAGGTTAGGTGTTTAGGTTCTGTTGGCGATTATTTGTATTTGTAGTACGTGGGTGAAGCATTTATAGCGTTGTGGTTCGAACAAAATTCGTCAGTGAAGCACTTGTTCCGGATATGTTCGAACGTCAGCAGTTGTGAGTCGTGTGTGAACCGTGGGGGTTTGGCGGGTGCATGGAATCACTTTTGGATCTTTGTTTGGAGGACGGGCTGCTTTGTTTGGAGGACGGGCTAATGTGGGCGAAGCATTTGGAGAGCTGTGATTCGAAAAAAGGTCGTCAGCGAAGCAATGTTCGAACGTTATCAATTTCAGTTGGGTATAAATAGTTTTTCATTCAAAAACAGGGGGGGGGGGGTTCGCGGCTGGATTAACGAGCAGTTGGCCTTTGTTTATGAGGACGGACTGCAACTGAGGAACCCCACTCCTTGCCCACCAATCAGCTGAGGGAACGCCCCCTCCCAGAAATACAACTAATCATAATTAACATATCTTATATGCCGAAAATTTCCTACCACTATGTTGTTATTATTTTAGGTTTACGGAAGCACGAATCCACACGAAAGCAAGGATAGAGCAAGAAAGAAACGCAATGATAGATACATGTAAGGACGCAAGGCAGACAGACACAAGGACGCAAGGAGAGACACATGCAAGAATGCAAGGTTTAACACAGGACAGGTAGTAAACACGGACGCCAGTATGATACACGGTCGTCACACTGCTCCAGCCCCGAGTATGGCACCACCGACCAATGTCTCCCCCACCACCACACCTGTCCCCTGGCCCAGTCCACCCAATAATCTTTACCAGGCAACCAGCTAGTGACCTCACGAGTCTTAATTCAAACACACACGTACATATTTAACTGTCAATGGCATGAAAGGCGAGGCTTGGGAGCTGATATTCGAGCCTGGAAGCACATCTAGATCAGTGCCTACACACTCACAGGTAGAAAGTGATATAACTACTAAGGCCAAAGTCCAACCCAAACTGGGAACAACGACCAGATCATTAAACTATAAACACTGAATGACGTAACAAGGTAGTCGGGGAAGAATTAACAATGTGACCAAGATAGTTTGAGAAAAAGTTAAAAAGAAAAAGACTAAGAATTGAAACTGGAGGTGAAAGACTTACATGACAGTTCACACTGTTCCTCCTGCTTCCATTGCTTCTGGTGTTTATTCTACTGTGGCCTCTGTTTAACTCAACAGTAAAATGGGTACTTGGTTGTAACAACGATTCTTCGCCGTGGGGATCGTATTCCAGTGACCTGCCCGAAACGCTACGCGTACTAGTGGCTGTAGACGAATGTAACAACTCTTGTATATATCTCAAAAAAAAAAAATCTTATTCCTCTTGTCCTCTCCAATACTTTGGTAAAACTGACGTACTCTTAATGACAGACTAAAAGAACAAAAGAAATGTTAAATCTGCAGACACGAACAATGTTCTCTAGTGTCATGTTAGGGGCTTTAAATCACCCTATAGATTACTTTTCTTTCCTTCCTCTACTCTTCACAGACGCCGTCTTGTCGAATCGGCTCTCAAACACCACAAGCCCAACACGACCTTAACTCTGGCTTTGTTACTGTTGACCTTTCTCAATTCATAGTTAAATGCTCTAACTCTCAAAACAGAAAGATGCCAGTAGCATGTTCAAAGTTGGCAGATATAAGAAGTGTCTTTAAGAACCAAAATACAGACTCCTCCAGAACACTGTACACAGCCTTGTTACACCAACCATGGAGTATGCGGTATCGGCATGGACACCGTACATAATGAAACAAAGACAATTAGGAGAGTCCAAAGATACGTCATAAGGAAGACAAATAAAGATAGTCATACCTTCAAATAGTAGAGGGAATTAAATCCAGAGAAGACATGGACCAGACGTACAAGATACTGAGAGACAAAGTGAACAAGGACAGACTTCGAGATGAGTAGTAGAACTAGCCGACACAGGTGGAAATCACAACAAACTACACTGAGATGTAAGGAAGTGCTCCTTCAGTCTACGTGAGTGAACGCATTGAAAGGATATTTCAAGGTATTTCAAAAGGTATTTCAAGCGAATTCAATCCACAAATATAAAAGTAGAAACGACAGAATCTCAGGGAATTGAGTTGTTGTTGTTGTTGTTGTTGTTATAGATTCAGCTACTCGGAACAAGTTCCAAGTAGCACGGGCTATGGTGAGCCCGTAGTGGACTTACCTGGCACAGGAGCGGTGCTATGTGGGAATTGAGATTAGTGTTACATTAGATACTGGAAGGTGAGGAGGCAGATTCCAAGAACCTAATCGTCTTTACCCACAAGCACGTATACACAAGATGAGTTGGGACTAATGTAATGAAGGGAAGCTATTCCCAAGAATCGGTACAGGAAAAGGACCTTGTTGTGGACATGCCATCAACCCCGACCCACGAGGAACACAATTACAATAACCTTAGCGACACACGCGATGCTGACGACCACCAGGACAGCCTTTAGCAACCTCGACAAGACGAGCGTCTAGCGTCTAGACACTGCACAATACTTACGTCAGACACGGCTTGGAGCCTGAAGGACAACATGTAGACATATATAATGTTCAAAACTTTACCACACGACTGGTCCTAGAACCGTAGAGGAGGGAATTATCAGGGGGAAAGTGCCAAGCCATTACAACAATATAGCACTTGGAAGAGGTCAGGATAAGAATTTGGGATGGGACGGAGGGATAGTGCCGAACCACTTGGACGGTCGAGGATTGAATGCCGACCTGCATGAAGCGAGACCGTCGCTCTACCGCCCAGCCCCAAGTGGTTAATGTGGGAGATGGACTTAACCACACTAAAAGAGAGAGGTAACAAAGGACATAAAGAGAGGACATAACACACACAGAAGAATTTACAGAATAACACATTTACAACGAACAATAGGAGAGTGCACGGATGGAAGAGAGAGACACAGATGAGTCGTGTGGCTGAACAGACACTCATTTCATGTAATATTATTAGTAAAATGGAATAAACTAGTAGTAGTAGTAGTAGTAGTAGTAGTAGTA